ATGAAACATGAACTTTCCGTGGAAATTAACTACTGGAGCGTCACGTTGTGATTAAATAAAATAATAATGTACTAGCCGTAAGAATACAGCTTATGTTATTTCTGAGGAAAGCCCTCTGGTCCCTATTATTTAAATGTTAAATTTTGTTAATTTCACTGCCAAATTGTTACTTATGTACCCTTCTTGGGGGGGCTTTTCAAGTGACAATCACAGAACGTCTTATCCGTCTGTTCTAATGTACACACGGAAATCGAGTAGGTATTCTGACCCATTTTGAAATGGAGTAGGTCATGGATCACCATTTACAGTCAAAGGAGGTTTCAACGCAATCTATAGTCATTATTCGGAACTCGTCTACAAAATAATAACAAAAATGGATATCATCCATGTGATGTCTGGGGATATAATTCGGAGATATATTTGTGTCTCTTGAACACCTTAAAGAACTTTAAGTGATGTAATATAAATATATTTAGCAAGAACAAATAGCTGTACCGATAAAGCACAACAATGGAATGAAATGGTTTAGTTTCGCAACCAAGGTCCAGGTGATTGAACTCTTGTAGGCCCGGGTCATTATACGACCAAGGTTTTACCGAAGTGTCATAATGAAGTAAAACAAATGTAATTTATGCTGTCTATGAAAGTTATTTTATTTGAAGCACAAACTTTGTTTTCAGTATCTGGAAGACAAAATGCATTATCGTCGCATTATTTCAGTAAGGACATTATTTCGTGAAAAACCATGATGGTTGTGCTAAAGAACAACTCCGATGGTGACGATTTAATATTAAAGTTATTTGTATTATAGGGAAGCATGTTACAGATTGCAAAACAAAAATTAGAACAGTTCGAAACTTACGATAACTTTTATATGTAGCGAATACGCTCTGTGTATAGTGAGCTGAACAAAGAATGGGGAGCACATGAAGTGAACTGAAACGCAAACATATTCCCTCTTCACCTGTTAATTGTAATCATTATATATCTTACCTCGAATGTTCTTATTTATTAACCTGGGTTTTTTTCCTAATGATGAACATTGTATAGAAGTGCATTCGTAAATTTATAAAGGACAAGTTGGAATTCATATTGCTATTGTTTGAACACATGTTTGTAAATGTTTTGTGGGAGCACATGAGTCGAAACTGTTTAATGATCACTGCATTTTGTTTAGAAGGGACATACTTGGATATTTTTATTCAGATTTTGTTGATTTGTAGGTGTATAGTGTTTAATAATATACAGGATAAGAACACTGTTTTTATATTGGTTCTGTTTACCTGTATCTTGCTTGAAATTTGAATATATAATAATGTTTATTTATTGAAGAAAGAAGGTTATTTATTACCCTAGATTCACTGTGGACTTTGGTGAATGTATGCTTCTGCATTTGACTTGAGACCTCAACCTGGAGAGATGGTGGTGAGCCGAAGTGATGTTAAAAGAAGGCGTAAGGAGGGGAATATCCTGCAGGAATCCATACAAGGAAGCCCTAAGAGGTATAAAATACTAGTTTATATACCTTTGAGCATAACTAACACTGTGAAGCATAGTCCTTAATAAGTTGATGACTTTGAACATATTTTCTGTGTGTGCATAAAGCAACAACTATGTAGCACTATGACTGTAAATAATAGCAAGCATGTAGTGTTACATGCCTTTACACATTCCATATCATTATTTATGGTCGGTGGGAATACATAAGATTGTTATCCTAAATCAGCAAACTCATTATGTCAGTATAATTACATAAAAGACAGGTGAAAAAGGCTGCATACTCTAGTTAGTATAATAAATATAATAACATACAAAGTTTGACAAACCAAATATTTGTACGTGTTATTTTTTAATATCACATTACAGAGCCGAAAAAGTATATTTATATGGTACACTGACAACTGGATTTATTCGTACATTAATAACAATAACTGAAATAATTATATGATTCCATGATTCCATCAGTGTAACCAGACACTGTTACTCATTAACATACTCTATGGTACAGGTTCTTTTTTGAAAGCTTATAGTTACTTTGCTGTTCAACAAATTGTTTGCTGTTTTTATGACTTAAAGTTTCATTATCATGTTCTCTAAAGCCTATCATTGGACCCTATCCTGATCCAGTTTATTCCAATCTGTGCCTCAAAATGTTGACTGGCCAAGTATCCTTATAACTATACTGGAGATTTAGTTTAAGACAGGAATATTAAAATGTATCTGAGGGGAAGAGGTAGTTAACTGGGTTTTACCTGGCTCTGTATTGGGTCACATGGCTGGATGTTTGTGGTAATGGTGATCCTTTGTGTTTTGTAATAGTAGGAAGATTTTTATATAGTGGACTGTGTCATGTATTGTTGGAAGATACTGGGTCTTGTGTGTTGCAGCACCAAGTAGTCTGGTAGCAGTTTACCAAAGTTTTAGAAGTACTTGTTGCCTTTATCATCAGGGTGATGACTCATTGCCCTGATCATTGAGACAGCAAAAACCTTTGAAACTACAGTAAATTTCTGCCATACTACATGGACAATCCAGAGGAGAGCCATCTTCATGCTCACTGCCACGAGAACTCAGAAGTCCTAAGTATGAAACATGTTTCATGCTTTAGTTATGTTTATCATTTAACTTATATAGATTCAGCAGTATTGACAATGTTAATACTTATCTCTGTTGTTATTTTAGTAGAAAATCTTTGCAAGGAACCAGTTTATTTTTTTGTTTATTTCCTTAAAAATGTTTTTGTGATCATATCAGCAGGTAAATTGCAGGCACAATGTACATTATTCTCTCCAGTGTGTTTAAGCCCTTTTGTTACCATAGTATTCTTTTATTGTTGGCTTTTTATGCACATTACCTGTGTTTTGTGTTCAGTACTACACAAGGAAGAAGGATAGTGTTAAGGATGGCATTATTAAGGGTTATTTTTATGGAATGGAAAGGAAGAGATGTAAGAATTAGGTCTTAATCCTGGTATCCCACAGATTGTAATTCAGTTGTTAGTTTAGCAAAAACAACTGAACTTTCAGGCATAATAGACACTCATGAAACAATTTAATTGTACATGAACAATGGCACAGTTAATTGTAATAATTTGTAAAATGGTATACCAATCTTGCAGTTTTATGTATCACTTATTTCTGATCTCTATAAAATATTTTTGTATATATTTTATTTATATATATAAATAATGTAGTTTCATACCTATGTTCAAAAGCCTGTGGTCTTATATTGCTAGAATATTCTAATCAAGTATTTGAAAAAGTAGAGAAGAAACAAATTGTACTACTCAGTATCTTTGTGTATGTTTATGTGTATTATAAGTATATGGTTAAAGCAACTTATTGTGAAATAATTGTTTGTTTTTTTGAGAGGTAAGTAACAATGTTAAAACAGAAACAGTATCCTACTTAGCAGAATCTCATGATAGTTGCCTGTTTTAAGGAAATATCTACCCATATGGCAAAATTGTAATTCAGCTAAGGCCTTACAATCACAGAGGTTATGTGATGCTGTTTTTGTTTCATGGCAACACCTTCTACAAGTGGTGTTATTTATTTTCCCCAGCTTGAAGAGGTGTCCCCTCAGGTGACACTGCCCTGTTAATAGCCCTGTCACTCTAATGAAATCTAAGAGACATTAAAATCTGAAGATCCTGTAATTTTTACAAAGTCTGATTGTAGTCCAGAGACAAAACTCAAAGTCATTTCACTATCAGAGCACAGAAATAAAGAAGTAATTTTATTTTTTTCAGAACAAAGGTCCATGCGCAACGGAAGTTTGCACAAGGCTCTTCCAACATGAGCAGTCCTGCACTGACTCCGGTTAAAGATAAGGATAAAGTGAAAACCAATGGTGTAGTGTTATCACCAGAGCTTATACCAGCTAAGAGGCCAAAGACAGAAGATTTTCTTACATTTCTCTGTTTTCGAGGTAAGGAATGGCAGGCACATATTACGTTTGTAGTTTCTTATCATGAGTAGTTCAGCATATATATGATATATTATGACCTGGTGAAAGTTAAAAAATAACCTTTTCAGTGTATTTGAAAATTAAACTATTGATATCTAGCCTTTTATTTTCCCAAGTTGAAAGTTCTTGGTGATAAAAGTACTCCCAAATATTACTGAAGTTGGTATTATTATCATTATCTTTTATGCCCATTCTATAAATAGATCACTAGGCCTATTTAGTATCAAATTATTAAATGACTCAATAACACACTGCTTGCAGACAACAAATATTTTTCCTTCAACAAACTGAGTTACAGACAAGGCTTCAGAAATAGGCTTTTCCACTTGCCATGGATGAATTAATGGAGATCATTAGGGATACATTTGTAGCTTTGGTCTGTGATTTAATAAGTAAATGACTTATTATAATGTGTAAGGTGCAGGTAGCAAAGTAAAGCATATATTATTTTTGTTTCCAGGTCTTAACATTTAGCTTTTTTTAAATACTTCGTCCTACAAATATTTGTATAGTTATGGGATTGAATGAGGTTATGGACAGATGGATTTTTTTAAACTGGCTAGTTTATTTAAATTGTTTGGCTGTAGCTTTGTCTCCTATAAAATGTTGTAAATTTAAGGTGTTTCTGGAGTCCTTTGTTGCAGAGATCTGTGTTTGATGTTATGCACAATTTTTTCTATTATAGATAAATTTGTTTTATTAATAAATTCATATGTGAGCTTTGTGCAAAATTATAAATTATACTGGACCAGTATGGACTAAAATTTAATTACCCTTTCAACTTTTAGCATAGACCATTCAGTACCAAATGTCATTGAAACGTGCTGATAAGTTTCAGAGATAAATTTGCAGATTAATAGATACAGTCTTCCCATAAATGGTACCAAATTGGCATCTAAATTTTGTGAAATTTGTAAAATTATGATATCTAGTAAACAATGGTGACTCAGCATTGGGAAGAAACAAGGATTCCTTGCAGAATTTCGGTGGGAAAAAATGTCTCTTGAAAAACAACTGTTTGGTAAACTGAGAAGGTGATATGAGGATAACATGAAGATGGACCTCAGTAATAAGTTTTGAAGTTGATAGGACTGTCTCAGAATCTTGTAGAATAGCAGGTAATAGTATTAGCTGTATGAAAAGCTTTGGGTTCTGCTGCCAGAGTATTGGAGATTTTTCAGAGGGGTACTATGATTGGATCTGATCAATTTATCAGTTTGAGACAATGTAGACCATATTTTATTTCCTTACATTTTTAATGTGTAAAGATACTCTGAATAGGAACTCCAGTCCTGCCACCGTACTTGGATTTCTTCAACATTGCCACAGTGCAAGAGACCCTTGATGAGGAACAAGGTTCATCATTGGGCGAGTGCAGCAGAGAGAGCACCCGTAATAGCAGAATTGCTTCAGCATCTGTGGGAAGCAGCAAGCTGCAGCGATCTACTGATAGAAATATCACTGATACATCAGCAGTGAGTTCTTTGATGTTTTTGAACACAGACATTTGATCAGTTTTAAGATCATGATCAGTATGAACATGGTGTAATTTGGTGTTACATATAAGTTCTAATTATGATAAAACATATTTTATATGAAATATTTGCCATAAGATTCCACTTTGATGACAGAAAATAGGTTCTACAATAATAAGGATGGCTCACAAAGTGTCTGTGGTTTAGGAGAGATTAAATGCATATTTAATAAATTCCAGACATATGTATTACAAATTTAACATTTTCAACATTTCAGTAAAAAATATTTTCATCAGTTATGCCACTAATTTTCTGTGGCACACATTGATCAGCACACGTTCATATTTCAATTTAAAAATGTTTATGTACTATGGGATCCCCCATTTTACGTCCTTCTGTTGAAGATTTATCCTCATGTAGTTTTGAATTTTTGCTATCCCAAGATTAAGATTTTCCTTAGGGTTTGAATGAGTTTTCCAGAAACATGAAATGGGAATTTTACTGTGCTAAATTTATAACAGTGTGAGCTTGTGAAGCTTAGGTAACATGCGTTAAGAAGATGAATCATTTTGTTATATGATTCTAGTGCTCTGGTGTTATCAAGAAATTTGACAGATCAGAAAGTGATGGAAGGCGCAAGCCACCAACAGCTGTGCAAGCACTGAGAAGAAAGTACCAAGAACAAAGGCTGGCTAAGCAGAGAGCTAGTACACTCAATAAGTTGGCCCAGAAAGGTATAGCCCCTTTATTTTGTATATTTTAATCATGATCTTCATAATTTTGGCCCTTTTGATTCTAATTTTTATAAGTGATTTTCAGAAGTGATATGTATTTACCATTTGTGATTATTGGTTAACACTTTAAATCCAATATTGGCAATACTACTGTCAGTACCTGTGCACACTATCTTTTTAATGAAACATGGAAATAATTTTGACAATACAGACTTTTAAAATCTGCAATAACAGGCTAGTGACAATGTAATCATGACATTTTACCATTTGACAACTCCAAGTTTGTAGTTTTCTTCTTCAGTAGTAAAGACTGCATTTTTTGTCATTATAGTGTAGTGGCATCTAAAGCCAGTCACTACAGTTCTGCAGTTACACCATCATTCATTTCACTCTTGCTTTCATTCAACTTGTAATAACTTAAGTTTAAGACCAACCAAGATTGTAGTTCTGTAGACTAATGTGTTTGGTTGACTACATTTTTGTTTAGTCTATAGTTGTGTTTTATCTCTGGTCAGTAGTGAATTCCATTGTGAGACATAAATTTCAGAACATATTAGCTCATACCCTGACATTAACAATATACTGTTATCATGGAAATTATGATCAATTCAGATTCTGATGAATTTTAAATTAGTGAAGACCAATATAATGAAGAGCCCATGTACTTGTCTCCCAGCAGCGGCAATGATGAAGATAAGGAAATTTCTCCTCTTCACTCAGAGCCTGAGGGGGAAAAACTACAGAACAGCATAGGGAGTATCGGGTTTGGAATTGGAATGAAAACAAAGCACTTGTTCTGTAAACATACCTGCATTTTCAGGCATCGAAGGATTACATATAAACACAGCAGCTACTGAAAAGTGTTCTTGTTTAGGCTTCTTCCACCTGTCTTTCAACATTGAGATTCCCATAGTTATTCTGAATTAAATTAATGTATATGTAAAACAACAGATCAATAAGAAGCAGTGGGAAGGCACTTTCAAAACAAAATAAGGCCATGCTCATTTGAAAGAAGTAGAGTTGCTGGAAATGTAACTGTTATTTGCTGTTTTAATATGTGTGTCTGTTTACGACTGACTACTGGGAAGACAGATCCAGTTTTACAGAAACCTTTTGCACTGATATTGTCTCCTTACTCTGCTCCATTTTGATGGCTATTATTCTGAGACCTCTGTTGTCAGAACTATGAAATGTCACATGTGTTATTATATTATAATCTCTATTTAAACTCAGCATTTTGGTTTATTTAATATTCAGTTTCTGTGCTGTCTGCTGAGCCAATTTGTGTGTTGGCAATCCTCTACACTTGTATTTGTAGGTATCTAATTGAAATTTTGGCCAGGGTACTGACTTTTCTGATCAAAGGTTTTTATGGTTTTCCACAGCTTCTCCTGGTAAATGCTAGGATATACCTCAAAATATCCCACATCAACTCTTCCCAGATCCCTTTCTGCCCATCAGTCATGACTATTTTACCAGCTCTTACAACAATGTGTAGTCTGCAGTTAAGAAACATTGTTGTTAATTAAAATAAGAATAAGTTCAGTAAAATCTTTTTGGGCAATCAGCCGCATCAGTTGGTTACATGATGCGACCAAAGTTTTGGGAACCATCTCCATCCCCATCATCAGGGTTCTGAATAAGTTTGTGCTTCTGCATAATTACCTTAAGTATACAATTTTCTGTAGTTTGTTGTGAAATATGTGTTTCACAAATTAATATGTAGTTTAGAGTAAATGATATTGTGATTTGTTCCAAAATTCTCATTTTAGTTAAAGGAAAGAATATGGTTCGAACACGTTCTTCTGCACATAATGAGGAAGTGCCACCAAGTATGAATACTAAACCATCAAGAGGTAACATAGATAAGAAAGCTGTAAGAGGAGTGAACATGGTGGAGAGGAAAATCAAGTGTGCAACAAAACCTAGCCTTTTGACAAGGTAAGATTTAAGGAATCTTACAGAAGACAGACTTGGTACAGTAAGAGTTTCCTGTAAGGAGTACATGCTGTAAAGAGAAATCCATACTTTCTGTGAGGTTCAAATCAAACTTTATTAGTTTCTCAAAGTCAGCTGATCACACTGTTTTGTACAGGACATAAAATGCATATTTAATATCTAGAACTTTTATTTGGAATTTTTTATATAGATGCTATTTAATAGTTTACAAAATATAATTTCAACCTTTTTACAAACAGTTTTACAGTAATGGATACATTTTGGTCACTGTTACAGCCAGTGACATGTATAAATTATAACAAACTCATTTGGAAAATATGTGTACTCCCATTTTACTTGTCTTATTGTTAAGTTTCCTGTATTTAAGAATTTCTTCAGTTTAGAATTTTAAATCTATTGTTTCCCAAGAAAATATTAAATGAACATTTCAGTACTGTATTAAGAAACCAAGTCTGGCTGTTGAAAGTGATGTGATAGTGTATTTCGTACCATGTTTCTTTGCAGGATGCACACACGAGAAAAGACAATAATGAAGACTAGGACAAATAGGACATCTGTAAATTCTATCAGGAGAGATGGCCTCCGTAGTGGTGGCCAGTTACCACCTGGTAGTGAAGCTGGCCTCAAGAGTGAAAGAGTTCTGAAGCAACCAGAACAACCGCAACAAACTCGTTTAAAGCCAGGTGTGAAAAAGAAAATAGGTATGTCATCTCTGTTCATAACACTTTCCCTGTTGTAATGGTTTGTATTTCTCTTAGTGTATTGCTGCATTCAGTTAAAGTTCCTTCATTATATTAGCTCAGACAGATAAAAGTCATTTTACTGGTGTAGTGTATTGGTCGCTTTTGTGTGTCCATGAAAAATGAAAAATGATTGTCCTTTACTTTTATATTTAAATAAAAATTTAATTTCTGAAGTTGATTACAATTCAGAGTTCAATGTTTATGTTATTTAAAGCAATTTCTTATGCTTGTGTAAAAATAGTTGTTTATTTTATGATGTTTGTTGGTTAATGAATAAGAGCTAAAGATCCTGATAGTACTTCACACAATTTTTTTGTAATGTTTCAGAAAAAAATACGAGCAAAACTTTTGCAAGTTCATTATCAGACTTTTCATCTGATGATGACCAGCCATTAGCAAAGAAAATAAAAGTGAAACCTATTGAACATGCTTCTTCTAGTCGACATCTTGCAAGGAAAGTCATCAGGCGGATTGTATCGAAAAGAATGAAACCAAGAATGATAACTAGGTCACAGCAGCAACAGCAGCAGGCCACAGAGAAGGAGCAAACAGAAGTAAGGTGAGTTGCATATGACAGAACTACCACCAACTAAACTAACTTGTTGGAAGTCTGGAATTATTCTCATATGATATTACATGCACTTTTAGGAGAAAGTTTTACTAATAACACCTTTTTTCAGATATGTTTAAAAAAGGTTTAATATATTACTTTTTGGTTTTAGCATGTCCACAGATCAGATCACTCAAACTGTGGGAATTACGAAACTCTGTGTGGTAGACGTACATTATATTTTATTGAGCTCTTTTAACTTTGGTTTAGTGTGTGTAATTTTAAAATCTCTTTGATTATGTTCTTAAATTAATTTTAACGTATATATGTTGAGACCTTTGTCTTACTTTGATAAAACTTGGTACGTGGAATTTGTATTACACAGATATTTATTTTAAATTTTGTTCCATTTAATTAGTTTTAAAGCGCGCTTTATTTAGGGATCTAAATATACTTCTGAGCATATCTCACTAAATATCCAAATGAATGAAAAATGTGTTGAATTGTAGTTGTAAATATCCATAATCTGTGTAATACCTTACAACATACTTGAAAAAGATTGTTCATTTTGAGAAAATCAGCAACAAAAGAATACCTTTTAAGTATACATCATCGAAAGTGTTATGCAAGCTTCTGCAATTGCCTAGCCATCTAGTGGATTTTTGCACAATTTATAACATGTTACATGTACCAAGACAGCAGATAGATTTCTTACATATGTGTAATACATATCTGTAATGCCATCCCAAAGTGTGCCTCTCTTTGATCCTTTGTTCCTGTTTCCATTAAAATTGTATTGCCTAAGTTTTACTATAGTAATGTTCTGGTAGATAACATTACATTTTACTCATCTGAACTGGTTTACATTTAACTTTACAGGCTTTACACAAGACCTCCTCGCAAAACAAAGGAAGCTGCAGCTATTTATATGGAATTGCTGGGCAGGAAGCTGATCACTCCAGAAGCAGAAGCAGATGAAGATTCACTCTCCATTGACAGTTTTCCAGAGCTTCCCAATGCCAGACGAATTGGTAAGGTTTTAATGTTTTGATTTCTATTATAGCTGTTTAAAAATAGAGCTTTATGTTGTACATATAAGTGTATTAACTTATGAAGAATATGGTACAGGCTCTTGAACAATTTGTAGTTATTCAGCTGGTCAAGAAATTCCCAGCCTTTATGGAACCCAAAGGTTCGTCACCATATTTATTGGACATGCTGATCCTATACTGAGCCAATAAAATCTTTTCATAACTTATTTCTTAGTACATTTTAATTTTATCTTCTCACTTACAACCAGTATTTCCCATTAGTCTGTTCTCTGGCAAGAACTTTTTATCCAATTCTCATTTCCCTCTTGCAGGTTACAGTTTTTTTGTTGGGGCTTTAAAGTTTTTAAGGCCTGCAACTATTTCCTTACATGTATGTGTGGTTCTTGATGTCACTAACTTCCTAAGTTTTGCAGTCATCATTCTTCTCTATCAGTCCACTGTTCTTCTATTCCTCTTCCTGCCATTGCATCATAGATTCCTTTTCAGCCATCTAACTTTTAGTCTTACTCTTTCCTGGTGGCATCCACTCCAACACTTGGTGGGCCATTTTTTATCTGCCATTTTTTGAATGTGTCTATACTATATTAATAATTTTGTTTTTATATCATACAAAATATAATTTTGTAAACACATTCTTTTGCTAATTATATGGTTATAATATGAAGGAGGAGACAAAATCCAAAACCTTGTATTTCATTACAAACTTTGTATTTTATTCTTTGGATGCTTAATATGATATAGACTTAATTCTAATAGGAAGTTTATCTTATTCCTGTTTTGTAAGTTATTTGTTATGGAGAACATCAGATATACAGTGAAACCTCGATGCATCGTTTTCGGCGGGGGTGGGAAAATAAAACGATGGATACGGGAAAACGATAGATGCGGGAGAGCATTAATTTTTTTTAAAAAAAACAATGTTTCTCTTTCAAAGTTACTTCTTTTTACCAAAAAAGTCTTTAATGTACAACTGGTTTGTCGAAACTTTACGTTTTGGGCCAAACAGAGCCCTTTCCACGTTCAGAATGTTTTCCTCGTCACGTTCACTAATATTACGCGCATAAAAGAACGACTTCACGTTTGCCAATGCTTCGGCAAAACTCGGCACAGCTTCGGGCTCGCATTCGCCGTCTTCCTCACCACTCCCGCCCCCCTTCGCGGACCATAACAGGAAGAATGGAAATACTATTACTGCCGAACTCAACGAAACGTAGCTGTAGAAGACCCTGAACCACTGGAAACGAGATGAACCAGAAGAATGAAAAGTGTCGCCAGCCTTTCCTTTGTACTTGTAATAAAAGCATTTGTGAAGAAATTCACACTGCACATGCCATCTGGCATCGCTGGAACGAAATATGAGTGCACCCTAATTAAACTCGTAAAATTTCTGACAATGAGCACCGCCATTCGCTCCAACTATCACCTCTGCACCTCTGTGCTGGTTGGGCGACATAACAGGTTACCACTACTGTGTATTCCAAAAACATTGTGCGTCTTTCGGTATTAATTTATCTCAAAACCCAGCATTTTAAATTCTCAGAAACGATCATTGCGGGAAAATTGTGGGCCGGGACTGAGATTTTTGAACGATCGATGCGATAAAACGATAGTTCGAAGAACGATAGAAGCGGGAAAATGTAACATTATTTTATATGGGATGTATTCGGGACCGAACAAAACGGACGATGCATCCGGGAAAACGATAGTTCCGGGACCGATAGATAGAGGTTTCACTGTATCTGCTTAGCATCATGCAGGAGACATGTCTTTTGCAGAACACTTGGGGCATGTGCTTTGGGATAACTTTAAAATGATTTCAACACATTCAAGTTATACAGTGTTGATCTCTTGATTCCTTTATCCCTGCTCCAGTGTTAGGCATTGAGCCAGTAAACAACAAATTCCATAATGGTACAAGTTTTTTTATTTTAAGTTGCTAGTTGCTCAGTTGAATAATTCCCTTGTTTTTATGGAATCTGGAAGTTCATTAACATGTTTGCAAAAACCTATCTTTGTCCCTGTCCCTGTTTACATGTTCCTCCTTGCATAGTCCTAGGAGCTGCACAGAATATATTTTTGGTCTGCTGTGGATGCAAAAATTCCTTCTCCACAACTCCCTGGTCTTGTAAGGAAGTTTTTAAATAATCACAGATCTATTTTAACATTACCTTTCCATCTAGACCTAGGTTTTCCAAGTGGTTTCTTCCCTTCAGGATTTCTAACTAAAACTATATACACATTTCTTCTTTCTTCCATATGTGCTTCATCTCTTGACCATCCCATTTCCCTTGGTTACATATTATGATGCCCCTCATCATGTAATTTTCATTTGTTACTTAAATTCCCCTCTGTAGTTCTCAGACACTGCCAATCTAGATTCTTCCATTAGGGTGAGAGGAAAGTTTTAAGACTTGAGGTTCTCACAGCGGTGAGTATGAAGATTTCTGTCTTCTGGGTTATTGCGTTATCGCCCTGATGACGGAGGCAGTATGACCTCTGAAACGTTGGTTAACATCGACCAGACTACACAGCGCAATAACCCAGAAGACAGAAATCTTCAGGAAAGTTTTACATTCGCATAAAATAAGAGGTAAAATTATAATTTCATACATTTCAATTTCCTGCCTAAACGTACTTCTCTAATATGGAACAACGCTGTCTTGAGAAGATTATTTTGTCTTTGTCATCCTTTAAGTAATATTTTGTTGAAAACTTTTAAGATGATAAAGCTATAAAGGAATGTTTTTGTGATTAATTGTTAACAGAAATTTCTTTCAGAAGAACAGTATTATGTAGGAAAGAAAAGAGTTTGACATGATTTGTACAAAATGTCAGATCATCAAAGAATTTGAAAAGTAATGGGCAGCAGTTCTTTAAATTGTTTTATTTATTCCTTGGGTTTGTTTAACGATACTTTTCCAACAAAATAGGTTACATAGCATTGGATGAAAGGATGACTGCAAATGATGAATTGTAAAGGATGTAGAAGGAAGCAGTCCTGGACTATTTTGAACTGTATCCAGCTTTTGCTTGACAGACTGAAGAAAACTACAAAAATTCTAGACAGGATAGTTGGTATCTTGTTCTATATTTGAACATTTGGCCTCTATTACATAGCAAGAGTGTCTGCCAGTTACTCAATTGTGACATATACTAGTATTACTTTTGACATGTTCTGAATTTATTAACTTGAGATTATGTTCTGAAATGTGTGTTTTTGTTGCAGAGCGACGAGAAAGTGAAATTAAGGCACGAGCATACAAAGAAAGGAAAGAAGCTCAGCAGTTAAAAGAGAATCCAAAGACAACATTACCACAGAAATCTAAATCAACTGATGGTGCAGCTGGTAAACAGAAGCAAATAGAAGTTATAAATGTTAAAAAATTGTCCATGAGAAACAGAAGACTACCTGTACAAAAGCCAGAATATTTGAAGAATATTGATAAAGTTAAGTTACCAGTGCCAGATATTCTGCATAAGAAGGAATCTGTTACTGTAAAAGAAAATTTGGTGAGTAAAAAACAGGATGGAACAAGACTGGGGCTGCAAATGAGGCCAAGGAAAATGTCTGCCAGATTGCAAGGTGTTGATAATCATTCCCATGAGGAAGGGGAAACTGATGTAGACTCAAATTGTGATAAGATGAAGCCTCAGTCTGCTCCCCGCCGCAGTCTGCGGAGAGGTTCTCGAGAAACTTCTCAAGAAGTACCTCAGCAAAGCTCCTCTGGTACAACTGAGCAAAGCACTTGTGACATAATTGAGCAAGTTTCAAGTTCTGAAATTACACCTGCAGACTCTGTATTGTCTAAGGTCCTGACTAAGAGGAGCAAGCCAGTACCATCTTTACTCTCTACATCTCCTCTCCCAAGAATTTTAAGAAATTTTCCCAAATCTCAAGATGATAACTCGTGTCATTCAGAAGAGACATTCAGTGATTCTGATGAAGAGCCACTTGGGAAACTGGCTTTGAAACATTCAGCTATTAAGAAATTAAACAAGGAAATGGTTGTTAATAAAGACACTTCAGTAGAAGAGAAAAGTGAGGCAAGAGAAGAAAGGGCTCAAGTTATTAACAAAAAAGTTAGCATGAATGAAGGTATGGCATCAGTTTTGGGTTCAGATGATACAGAGAGGAATAACGCCCTGAATGAGAAAAACGCTGAACAAGTTTTGAAAGTACTTGTGACTACTGCACACAAAGGAAATGAAAAGATTCTGCACCAACCAAATGATGATGTCTCTAAGGTCAAGGTCATAGAGTTTTCAAAAGTTGTTGGAACTAAGAATAAGGAATTATCACAAAGAAAAAAGGATGGTAATATCTCACAGGATATAGGAACATCTCATAGAAAGAGTGAAGAGAATCTTGCTACTAAAGATAGAGAACTACCACATAGAAGTGAAGTTGTAAATTCTAAATCCAAAGAAAAGCTGCTCAAAAAGAATGAAGTTGATAATAATAAGAAAAAAGAGATATTACAGGGGAAGAATGAAGTAGGCACTTTTAATAAATGTAAAGAATTGCCTTCAAAAAAGAGTGATTTTATTGAAAGAAATCAAGGCATTTCTAACAGAAAGGGTGAAGAGGATACCGAGAATGAAGAAATATACAGAAAGACCAGAGAATGTGGTAATGCTAGGTCTAAAGAAGCACCTCTAAAAGGGAGTGATGAAGTTGGTGCTGTGGCAGAAGAAGTGTCATTCAAAAAGGCTGAAGATGAGCTTCATATTAAGAAGAAAGAAATGATACTAACAAGCTGTGAGGAAGATCACTTTATAACCAAAACAAATGAAACATTACTGAAGAAAGTGGAAGAAGTTGATATTAAGAGAATAAAGATATTACAGCAGACAACAGAAGATGATCTGAATAAGGTGAAGAAAATTGTAGCACGGAGGAAGAGTGAAAATTCTAGTATTATGAGTAATGAAGTAGCAAATAGGAACTGTGAAGAGGACCTTATTACCAAAAGTGTAGGTATACCATCAAAGAAGTGTGAAGAGATTATCTTATCTGTAAAAAGTAACATTTATGTTAATGCCAATACTGAAGAAATATCAAGCAGAAAGAGTGAAGGAAATATTTCTGAGAATAAAGAAGCTTCACAAAGGAAGAATGAACATGGGACTAGCAAGAATAAACAGTTTGAAGATGATATTCTGACAAAAAACAAAGAAATACTGTCTAAGCAGAGGAAAGCTCTTAGTACTACAAATGAAGAAATAGCACCTGGTAATGGTGAGATTTGTCCTAAGAATGTGGAAAAACTGCAGAGGAAGGATGAAAATGTTAACACCAAGATAACAGAAATACCATCAGGAAAGAGCAAAGTTTGTTGTACTGCAAGTGAACTTTCAAAATGTTTGAGGGATGACAGGTATTTAACATATAACACACAACCAAAGTCAGAATGTGTCACAGCTAAAGATGAGCTCCTAGAAGGTCAGGCAACAAAATATTCCATTTTATTTGGTCGAGTAGAACCATTAATGAAGGGTAAAATAATCATAACGACAGAAGAATTAACTGGTGAGGTAGGTAGTAGCAAAGATGAGAAACTAGAACCACATAACGAGATGAACATGTCAAATAATGTGAAAATTTTGAACAGTAGACTTGTAAATGAAATCATGGGTAATAATAAAGTAGACATTGCACAGTCTTCACATGTCCTGAAAAGAAATATATTGGAATCAAAAACTGAACCACAAACTGTGAAAACTGAATTAGAAATGGTACAAACTGAAAAGCAGACTAGCAGTAGTAAAATTGTGCATGTTTCTAACAAAGTAACTGTTCTTAACATTGAAAAGAAATTGCCTAATGTGCAAATGCCAGTCAGTGCAAGTATTCTCACATTGACTGAAACTAATGTTGACAGTCATGCAATGTTGCACACTGGAATTTTAACTTCCCCAAAACATGCTCTGGATGACAGCAGTGATTCTGAAGATGATATAGTATTGAAGAATCTTTCCAGGGAAAAGGTGTCAAGAAAGATAGAAGAACCTTTATCAAAATATCCTAACTTAGTTTTGCCTGTCAGTGGTGTTGTTTTGAAGCAAGGCAGTAAGATAAAAATGCGATCTGAGCATGCCCTTCCTAAACCAGTTGAAACTGAAGCACCCATGATCAGTCATCTGCCAATTGTAAACAGATTGGGATTGACATCAGTGAAAAAGGCAGCCACAACAAAAGGTGATAATGAAAACAGAGACAAATTTACACATTTGAGAATTGTGGATCTCAGAAGAGTTGAAAATGTCTCTTCAAGTCAAACACTGGGATTCCTTGCCAAATCAAACATACAGGAACCTACATTCAGAGACAAAGTAAAAGCAAAAATGAATATGTCAAATGAACAGATTGAGAAATGGCTGAATGAAAGTTACATAGAAGAAGCAGATTCTAAAAATTCAATGTTTGATAAGTGCATAGAGCCAATCATGGAAGATCAGGAAATTTTAAACACCGTTGATTTTATGCATAGTACAGAAAGCAAGGAATGTGATTACAGGGCTAACCTCTTGGGAGAAGTGGTGAAATCAGGGAAAGGTGCCTCATACTTGAAAGAGATTGTTGGTGAACAGTTGTACAAGTCTGATAAAAATTCTTCATTCTTAAGGGATGAATTTCAGCAGAAAATTGTTGAATTGCAAGAAGTAACTCCTCATTTTAATGTCAGTTTCAAAAAGATGACACGTGATGTTGCTCCTAGTAATGCAAAGTCTTCTGTAAAGAGTTTGTTGATGTTGGATGAAGGAAGAGATTTGAGATCCTACTCAAATAGAGCTGGTTCACTAGTCAAAGAACTAGGGTCCATTGATGTGGGTGTAATTCCTAATAGTCATCAAAGAAGTAAAATGAGTACAAGAAATCAGGAAGAAAATGAAGGTGATATTAGCAAAGAAGAAACTACTGTTAGAAAATTCCAAAGGGACATAAGTTCAGGTTCAGCATTTCAGCATATTGAAAATGAGTCTGTTCTGTTGGGGCCTTCGTGCAGTAGAACAGACAGAAACCAGTGGAGTAATCAGGAGAAGTTGACACATAATATTCAGTTACAAGGAGACACACATATTGAAGAAAAGGTTAATAAATTAAACCCAGAGACAAAGAAGCAGGAAGGAAATACTACTCATCATAGCATCAAGTCACAGCCTCTGCAGGATCGTGGAGGGGAAAAAAAGTCCATATTCCAGCAACGCCGTTCATTCCTACACAAAGCAAAGGAACGCAAAGATATGACTCCAAGTGCAAATGCTTTCTCTCCAGAAAATGAAAGCAGTGTTTACGCATTTGAATCTGAACCTGACCTGCCACCAATTAGCACACCATTCAGACGTAGGGCAAGAGATAGTCGAACATCTAGTACAACAACATCAAAATCTGAGGAAGACTTGGCACGATTGGATGATGAAATAACACCACCTCCATCAGCAGTTCAAATGACAGTACAGACTGTACAGTCACCAACAGTACCAACAGTATCGTCATCAGCAATGCAGACAGTCCAATCTCAGCAGCTTACTTTGCCAGTTGTCGAGCAACCTATACAGACTTTGCCTTTATCAACAGCCATAGTACAAATCATACCAACACTTCCAGTAACCATGAGACCTATACAGGTTGAAAATTTTGTACCATCTCAGCAAAAACAACAACAACAGCAATTACTGTTGTTACAGAATGATGCTGTGATGACAACATTGAAAACTGGATGTACTAGTAGCACATCCATTGCTGTTCAAGTAAACTTAGATAATGAACCCAGCTTTGATACATCATCTCAAAACACATTAACATCAGATTCAGCCATTCCAGAACCTCTGCTTCTTCGAAGCATGGAATGCTCCACACAGACAGATGTAGCTGAAGAGGAAGAAGATGACAGTGAGGGACATTTGTTTTATATCCCACTGCAGCGTCCTGGTACAGGAGTGTCATTGGCTGCTCCAACACAGCAGTTGATACAAGGTGTTGCAGTCAAACTTGGCACAGAAGGCCCAACAGGACCAAATCAGCGTGTCATCATGCGAGCCAAACTAGTCACTAAACCACCTACCTTCAATCGCACTAGAGTAGGAATTCAAGATGGAAACACGATTGGTATTGGAAGGTACCATCATGGATTAAATTTGTTCATTCTTAGAAGTAAAATATTTTCACTAACTCCTCTTCATATTCCCCCACCTACATCTTAAATAAACTTCAGAATTTTAGAAGCTTGTTCCTCCCTAGATTTTCCTGTCATTTCAGGTAGAAAATAAGGAATTATCTGAGCTATAAGAACATTCAGTTCCTGTTGTATTTTTTAAGTTTATAATCATTGTCATCGTCTTACAGTCTAAGTCTCCACCTCTCTGCTCCCCGGGCCATCCAGTAGATACTTTGTTCTTTTATTTCTTTTATGTATTTTACCACCTGGTCTGTGGCCTCATTTGCTTTTTATGTCTACGAATATTATATTTTTGGGGTAATCATTCTGTGTAACACATGTCCATATCATATAAAATGGTGTATGCTTTTCCTACTCTGTTGTGTGTAAATTCCATCACATGGTCTCTCCTGTATTCAGAAGGAACCAATTTTGGATCTCTAACTATTGCCAGCTGTCCTGACTAAAGATTTTCCAGGTGAATGCCAAACAGCGCCTTCCACATGTAACTGCTTGCTTCCAAATTTTTGCTTACCATTCATGATCATCTTCTTGTCTTATATGGCACTATGTAAAAATCTCCAATTGAAAGACTACTGTTAAATAACCGGAATCATTTAGTTCATCTGTGTAGTAGACACCTTAATTTGTTATGCTCCAGCTTCATATAGTTACATATTTTCTCTTTTATGTTATCTTTTCTTGATAGGTTTAGCATGTCATCTCAGAAAATCCATTGCCAATGCCCAGAAAATTATTATTTGCTACCATACGTTATATACCAGGCTTAAGAAACATAATGCTAATTATAGTGTGATACGCTGTAATGACCTTTATTATCATCTGATAAAATGTTTACACATCTAAAGAAAACTGCATATTGGCATATCCTTAGTTTTTATTTACAAGACCAATATCTTTATTAAGTTGGTAATAATACCATCTATTTATTTTTTAACTGCTTCCAGGGAGGTAGATGCTAGCTTTATATCTAATTGTAATAATTTGTTGATTACTGTGTTAAGTTGAATTTATAGTTTTAATTTTGTTTGTCTTATCTGTATTTTTTGTTATTTTGTAATGTACATTCATTTTCTTACAGGCCTGTGGTCACTACACAGCGTCAAAGACCTGCTGGAATGTTGATGATGGAGCAGAAGAATATGTATGGTTCTGTATCTGGAGCAACTTCAACTGTCACTACTGGAACATATCCACCAGTTGGTACTGTTCAACCAACCGCTCGTGGTCGTAGACTTGTTATTCCTCCAAACAACCAAACAAATAATAATGCTATAACAGATAAAGTGCCAAATAATACAGACTTGAATACTCTGAAGATGCCTGAAACTGCTGGAAAAATTGTTGATATTTCTTCAGGTTTATGTACAGAATCTGAAATAGACAGTGCAGTGAATAAACCTCTGGCCATAGTTCCTGCAAAGCCTGTTGATAAGGCACAGCAGAATATAGTAGCTTCCATAAAAGAACAGAAGAGTTCTTTGGACCCAAATATTTTTTCCTTTTCCTCACTTGGTGATGTGGTGGCACCTAAATTGGCTACAAACAAAGGTCAAGGAAATGTAGGAAAGGAGCGAAGATGTTCAACAGAGGTGTACTCCCCAAGCACTTCATATACATCCAAATCAGGAAGTAGTAAGCGGTGAGTTCTTCAGGGTTGTTTGTTCATGCCTAATATGTTTAGTATTTTTAGAATACTTCAACATAGGATAGGGCTATTTTTAATAGACTGTGGGCCCGAGAACCTCATGACAGAAATTCTGTACTTAAAAATTGTTATGTAGGTGTCAATTATTTGTTGTAGTGTCTAAACATATTTTATAGATACATCAAAAAGTTATGGCATTATTAACAATAAGAATTTAATTCTTAAGTGTAAGGTAGTTAAGTGGCAACATTTAATTTAATCTGAGGTATGTGAAAACAATATGTTAACTTTTTTTAGAATGATATTTGATTGACATTAAGAAATGGAAAAGGACTTGAATATATTTCTGTTCGGTGTGAGCAGTCAGTAGTTTAAAAATCTGGACTGGGATGTACTCAATTTTCTCATACCCAGTTGTAGATTAAGGAAATTAATAAAACAAATACAGCACTAGGGACATGAAAATATGCATTTCTGTCATGGTCTGTCTTTTTAATTTATATTTTTAAAAGAAGTAAATGTTATAAAGAGATCTGTTATTTATATATGAATACTACCATGGGCCAAATCTGAGTTTCTTACATGCAATATTTATTCCATCCTGGAGTAGGAAAAATCTAGGTATCTTATTCAGTCTCTTCAGTTTCCCCTAATTTGATTTAACCAAAACAGATTAACTGACAGTACTGATTCCATGGAGTGCTTTCATTGATGTTCTTAATGCAAATGAGATTATCATGGGCCTAATTGAAATTTGTCAGTGAATTGAGTAAGTCTTTATCATCATTGTCATTTTGTCCTTGGGGCAACATGGAGTGCTTTCATCTAAAAATATGAATTCATTCTAGTCATGATGGCCATAAGTCATGTCCGGAGGCATATGCCTCAACACAACAGAGTGCATAATAAATCATACTTTTTGCAGAAGTTCTCAGAAAGCAAAATCAAGCTATGCATGTAAACCAAGCAACACTACAAACTTTCCCAATCTGGAAAGTCCAGCTCAGATGGTCGAAGCACCTGTCTTTCATCCAACAGAAAAGGAATTTCAAGACCCACTAGAGTATATTGACAGAATTCGCCCTGTGGCTGAAAAGTTTGGGTTGTGTCGTGTTGTGCCACCACCTAATTTTAAGGTAAGCATGAAGCAGTGCCTGGTTTTGCCTGGTTACTTCAGTTTTAAACAATATAAATATTCTTAGAATTACTAATCTGTGCTGTTTTATAGCTGTGCTATAATTTTGGTAAGATATTTATGAATGTGGTTGCAGGTTATTTCTTTATCAGATCAACCAGAACCATGCATCAGACTTTTGCCCAGTGATTTAATGTTCATATCTAGTTTGGAATATTACATTTGCTTGTTAAATTTAATATATTTTTTGTTTATGATCTCAGCCAGAATGTAAAGTCAGCGATGACATGCGCTTTCTGGCATACAACCAGTATGTCCATAAGATGCTACACCGTTGGGGACCAAATGTTAAGGAAATGATGGCTATTAAGAAGTATTTAGCTACGCAGAGTATATCTTTCAACCATCCTCCTTGGGTAAGACATGCACAGTAATGACTCATATGTATGGCATAAAATAAACTGCACAAATGTTTGTATTAAAATAAGGATGCTTATCTGCTGCTTCAGAGAAGAGTTCTTAATCATAATTTCCATGCATAGTTTTTCCTTCTCTCCCTGCCATACAATAGTTCTGTGAACTTCTGTTTTCCATTTTGTACCAATTATGTGTTTTCTATATCTTTTATGTAGATTGGAGGCATGGAGGTTGACTTACCACGATTGTACAAAATAGTTCAAAGTTTTGGTGGTTTGAAAGAAGTAATTGAGAAGAAGAAGTGGCATCGAATTGCAGATGGAATGAAGATTCCAAAATCTGCACAAGATAGAGTCACAAAGTTAGATGACATATACTGCAAGTATTTATTGCCTTATGACACACTTTCACCAGGTAAGAACATGTTAAACAAAGGAAGGAGAATGTAAGAAATAACAAATTTGGTTTTATGTTTTGTACATGGTATGTGCCATCCATTTTATATTCTGTTCAATCCTTTGTGTCATGTTTCAGAATAAATATTGTTAAGTACTGCTTCTCTTATAAACTGTACATGTGAATATGTCATGGAACCAAAATCTGCAATGAAGTCATAATAGGTAATGAATAATCTGAAATATGCTGGAACATCAGTAACGTACAAAAACAATGTTCATAATGAAATCAAGAGAAGAATGAAGTCACAAAATGCTTCTTATTATTATTTAAAGTGGTTTCTTCCCATATAAGTATATTTCATCTCTTGAGAGATTAAAAATCATTTTACCAGTTGTTTTAGCTGGTTCTGAAAAGTAGTTTTTGTAGGATTTGATACAAGAAACACTTTTGTGATTTATACTCTCCACCTTGTATTGTCACAGTAGTGAAGTGAAAGAGTTTGTGATGGGTTGGCCATGTGGCTAATATGGGGGAGACGAGAAGTAGATATAGTTCTAATGAGGGAAACTTCTTATAAAGTGGCAACTTGGAAGGTTAATGAGGAGAACTTTGGGAAATTGGTTATCAGGATAGGAGGTGTATGGAAGGACTGTGCGTCATTACCAGTGATGATGGATTCCAGTTGTAATAGTGTTGAAGTTTTGGGTTCTTTTACTTGCTTTATATCTTTTGTCACATGTTGAGAATTTTATTAAATATTTTTGTTCTTGGATGTATGCATTACAATGCTTGTTTTATTTAGCTGAAAGACAGAAACTGTTTGATGAAGTGGATAAAGAATGGACTGAGCGAGAGAAACAAGCAACTTTATCGGCCAGTCCAAGTGGCAGTGATGTGCCTGAGGAAGAGTGTGAAGGTGACACATCAGATGAAAGTGAAGAATGCATTGTGAAGGTACAGATTTATTTTGACTGCACCGTTGGTTTGCAGGCATGTTAACTGTCATGTTATTCAAAGTTGCCTTGATATGTAGTATATGAATCAGCGGGATAGATGTTTAATCTGTTAAACTTTTAGACAGACTTATGTTCCTATGTGATCTGTATTTTGATCAACATGTAGTATGACTATAAGTTCATCTGAAATCTTTCTTATATCTAATTAAGTATGATTTATGTATATATGGTCAGTGTTGTATATACATTCCAGCAGAGTACTATGTATATAATGAAATGAAAGTGTTGCCCTCAGTGGATTAGTGGTTAGCCTGCTCACCGCTGGACCCAAGGTTCATGGGTTCAAACCCGGCCGAGGTCATCAGTTTTTGAAGGGTGATAGAAATCTGTAGCATAACTTCCTTCAGAGGCGAAGTAAACTTTGCATGGACTGCTGAGTGTGCTGTGTTTTGTAAAATTATCTGTCTGAATAAATACTGTTTAGAGTATATATGAATACCTGTTTCAGTAGCAATATATACAAGTATGTGCATACAGAAATTCTTGTCTTTGTGTTGCTAACTGTAGTGTTGTCAGGAACAATAAACTGAATTGAAACATAATATGTCTGTGTACCTTGGCTTGTCATCTGTACCACCATAGAGATACATGTAGCATATAAAATATGTGAACTGAAGAATATTAATAGTTTTATAGAGTGTGTATATATAAGGTAATATTTTAATAATATCTCAAGGTGCCTTTATAGAACATGCATCTGTGTGATAAGAATATGGTATTTCATACCTAAGCAACAGTGTGAATTTTAAACAGGACAGTATTTATGGATGGTGTTCTTACAGCATGAATTTATGTAGTGAACAGCAACATTAATGATTTTATCAATCTGACATAAGTTAAAAAATAATACACAACTAATGTGTGCCCATGAGTTGAACATATAACAAGGAAGTAGTAATAAGTTACAGACAGGTTCTTTTATTAATCGTCTAAAAACAACTGTGATATTTAACTTTAAGTGACATACAGTACACCTGATGGTGGTTAAACTTAACTGAAATGCATAGTACACAATACAACACAGATATAATAGTTGTAGACTAATTTAATAAATGTTTGTTATGAAACTCTGTGGTGTACAAAGGATAAAGATTACATGGCCATGAAAACCTAAGATCTAATATGTAAAGTTAATGTTTTGTATTAATAACAGTTGTGGCTGGAAAGTATATAGTAACATGTTGGTAGTTGATATAGTATCATGAAATAAGAGGGTAAAACGTGGATCCACCTTGTCTGGTGAGCAATAGTCAGGATGGCTGATGAGGACATTGTTGGATGTATTTGCCAGGAACAAGTGTTACAAAGTAAAATTGTTACAGTAGCTGTTTTGTTTAAGTTATAAAAAGCAGGGACTACACTTCTGTAAGTTTATCATTGTCCTCCATTGACACATCTACCAGAAAGGGTCATCTTGATGACAAAGCCATTTACATTCTTCTCATTCCTCTCACTGTCTCTGTCCACTCCTTCACTACTCTTTACTTTGGTCTTCCCTTGATATCTTCTGCTAGGCTTGTGTTTGCTTATTCACCTTCTTCATCTTTGATACTATCAAAGGTATTTTATTGTCATTCATACATTGCACACCTCCACATCACTGTATTGCTAATTTTACTAACTTTTATTGTAGTATTTCTACTTTTGATTCTTGTTTGTTCTTTAATACTTCATAGGAACTTCATCTGTAGTGCCTGGAATTTGCTTAATATCTCTCTTAGTTCATCCAAATTTCTCTAAATTTTGTATGGGCTGTTATTAGTACCATTTGTGTTGTTCTCCTAACTTATGACAATTTAGCCTATTTCTTTGATAAGCTTTGTTTATTGTGCTTATTAATGATACTTGATTTTGAAGCAACCAACTTCATGTTTTACTACTCAGGGACGCAACATGCCCTTGAATGCATTCTACCGCATTGCACGGAACACAATGAGCATGTGGTTCCGTCAGGCTGAACCACCAGCATCTGAAGTGGAGCAGGAATTTTGGCGCCACGTAACTCTACGACAGAGTCATGTTTGCGTTCACTCTGGTTCCATTGACTCTAGTGGCTGGGGATATGGTTTCCCATGTTCTAAAAACAGCCCATTTGCACGTCATCCATGGAATCTTAAGGTGCTCACCAACAATAGTGGTTCAATCCTGCGATCCATTGGACCTATAATGGGTGAGTTCACAGTAATATTATAGTTCTAAATGTTTCAAGCTTATTGTAAGTTTTCAGATAATGGAAGAATATACAGAATTTAGTGAGCCCCCACAATGCAGGTACTCTATTGTACTTTAAGGTGGAGAAAATGTCAGCCACTGATACATCACACTTTTTATTCATCCAGACTTTAGGTAGTTTTTGAAGAAAATTATCCCATGAAAATATTTTTATTATCTAATACCAAGTTGGAATTAAATAACTGCGGTGGAATTTTAGGTGCCTCACAGCTGTATCTCTTCAGCTTTGTCAGCCAGACAGTGGTCAGAAAGGCCAAAAAATCATAACTGGGTGCATCAGAAAAAAGGAAGGAAAGCTGGAAGGAAATGGTAAAAGAGTAGAAAGACAGGGGAGAGAAGATGTGAGGAAGAACTGTGAGGGGGGAGGGGTTGTTTTTGTTATCAAATCTTCATATTGGATAGTTATATGTGCACAGTAGGTAGGCAGAAAGTATGCTTAAAAGGCATGTTTCTTTAAGTTATACATGGAATATTTGACATGGATAATACTGTATCATTAAAGACTCATAAACTATTTTTTCTGCATAGTCCAAATGAGTACTAATACACTTAATGTTATGAGATGCATTTTTATATCCCCTGTCCATAGAAAGTGGTGTGTTTTCTCAGCCTCCCAGACATTACTTCAGACTTTGTGGACAGACGACCTAAAAATCATACTTCAATATATGTCTCATTCTTCATGGGGACCATGTAAAATAAAATACAAGGGCGTTTCAAAAAGTAACAGCAAATTGACAATATTTCACGAAACGAATACCCCAGGCATTTCAAACTCCCGCACAGGGAAGATACATTCTTAGAGAAGGTTTTGACACTGCCCAGTAAATGGCGTGGCGTACTTAATTTGAAGGGATGCATATACGAAATGGTGGCGCCCTTAGCTGTTTGCACCGTAGAGGAGCAGCGAGCAATCATCAGATTTTTGTGGTCAGAGGGTGTGAAACCTCGTGAAATTCATAGAAGAATGCTGCATTTGCGAGAGAAGAGTGTATGAGTGGGTAGATGCGTTTAAAAATGGGTGTACATCAATCTGTGATGACCAACGCTCCGGTCGTCCATGATAACGCACGCCCTCACACCATTCGGAGATTGAGATTTCAGATCTTACAGCCCTGACATTGCTCCCTCTGATTATCATGTGTTTGGATCCCTGAAGGACGCGTTGATTTGGGAATGATGACGAGGTCAAAGAAGCGGTGCATTCCTGGCTAAAGGCACAACCAAAAACATTTTTTTCTGATGGAATAAAGAAGTTGGTGCAACGGTGTGAGAAGTGTATTGAAAAGGAGGGTGATTATGTAGAAAAATGACATCATTTGTATCTCTAATTGAATTATATTTCTCAAAATATTTAATTTGCTGTTACTTTTTGAAACACCCTCGTAGTTCATAAGCCATACATTGAAGTTGTATTATTCACAGGAGATAACAGAAGTTGAAATAAAAAAAAGCTACAGAATGTATATAAAGTAGTGTATAAAACAACTAGTGAATTGTATCTTATTCTAATCTTTTTTCTACTTCGCAAAGTTCAAACATGTCATTGTCATATTGACAAAGTCTTTCATACCCATGCCAGTTATAAATTTGCTCTTCATCTTTGGAGAAACAGAAAGTGCAAACATCATCAGCAGCAGTAGCAACAAGGTTTAAACCAAGTGGTTTTTTTCTGATCTCATAATCATATACACAACTAGAATTGGTCCTTAAAACATTTCCATGGGCATCCTACATTCCTCCTTTTGGTCGGTCGGTAATGTAGTAGATGTTTAGGAATACAACAGTCTAGTCTACACAAATGTTCCAACCAGTCATTTCTGTATTGGATTATTATGTCAGTTAATTTAAAGATCTTCAATTCTTGTTGTATCTCCTCACTTTGCTTCCAGCCCAGAAGTGTATAGCCTGCTACCTACCTTATACATTTTATTTCCACTGCTTCAATTTGTTTCATTTGTCTCTTTGTTCACGTCCATTTCTCTGATTCATAAAGTAGCTCGGGAACTGCCATTAAAAAGTAAAGCTGTCCCACTATACTCCATGTAGGCGCTTGGGGGAGTGGAGGTATAGCTCCTACTCATTCTTGACCTCGGCACTAGATGGGGGTGAGTGGTCAGCGTCACGCCCTGGCCGGCTTTACTCCCGGGAAAGGACCCCGGTACCCATTGGAGAGGAGGCTGTGTGGGCCCCAGAGCCGGTCTGGACATAGAGGCTAGAGGAATAATCCTCTGCCCCCATCGGGGATCGAACCCCGGTTGTCCAGCCCGTAGCTAGTCACTATACTGACTGAGCTATCCTGGCTCCTTGGGAACTGCCATTATCTTGTAAAATTTTAGGCATGTTTCTTTACTTGTTGTTTTGAGACATCTTTTTATTGTTAAACTTATTTATTTTATTGATAGCATTATTGTCCTTATTATTTGAAATATTATTATATCCCCGAAAGAAGAATATTAATGACAAATTTGAGATTTTCTCACTCACCAGCCTTAATTTTTCTCTTATTATTAAGTAAGAGTGAGTTTGTCGAGTCCTGATCATTCAAAACATACTATTCGGTGAATTGCTTCAGAAAATATGCCTTGTAAACTTACTTTCATCCTACCCCTCATATATTCCCTGAATAGGCTGAAAATTTGGGTGCATGTACTGACCAGTGTGTTTGCATAATGAAGCTGTTCATTACTTCATGATAGAAGAGAGAAATATGTCCTTCAGTTGTGTTCTGTACTATCCCTTAACATTGTACATAGTGATCAGAAGTGTTTATGTGTGAGTTGCAGGTGTTACTGTTCCCACCCTCCATGTTGGAATGCTGTTTACTGCATGCTGTTGGTATAGAGATCCACATGGTCTACCATGGGTTGAATACCTTCATACTGGAGCCAATAAAATTTGGTAATAATTCTACTGGTATTTATTATATATCAGCACGTGTCCTCAACTATACTCCATAAGAACTGAATAAGTAAAGTGTTTTGAATGCCGCAGTTGAGTGATCACCACTCTTGTTTTGTTTTTGGGAGTCCCATGTTTAAATCTTGATTCAGACATCATATATCCTGACAAGTTTTTTATGGTTTGTGTCAGTTGCTCAAAAAAATTCTGAGATAATACCTTAAAATTCATCACAATCACTTCCTTGTATAGCCTTTCTAATTCATCATTCACTTTCACTGTATATTTTGACACAATATAACCTATGCAGTTGCAAATGTGTTAAGTAGACAATAACACCGAGTAGAATATGTCAGTATGACATATTCTTCTGTGATTGACTCCAATTTTGTTATGCAATAGGTGGTTTAACTAACTGATTTTGTTATAATGTGGAGCTGGAAGTTTCATTAGAGTGACAACAGAAGCCACACCCATCCAGTGCATATTATTATAATCTCTTGCAACTTAACCCTAATCTTTTCACTGCTACATTAGTACATGCTGCAGTGGTTCTCTTAGTGCTAAATGAGTTCGCATTCATACAAATGTTTTTGTATATTCCAGTATTATCTGTTACTTATGAAACCATTTTCTTTCCATATATTGCAGGTATGGTATTCCTGATGAGTATAGTTCAGTGTTCAGATCAGCTTTAACAAAACTAGTGCCCAGGTATTGCAAGAATAAGACAATATGGCTTCCTTCAGACACCGCAATGGTTCCTCCACCAATGTTGGTGAAACATGGTGTTTCATTGTGCCACACAGTACAGGAGCCCGGCCAGTTTATTTTGGTGTTTCCACGTGCTTTTACATCCAGTATTTGCACAGGTTACCTGGTATCCGAGAGTGTCTACTTTGCACAGCCTAACTGGCTCAACACAGCAGAACAAGTATTCAGAGTACGTTTTTAGCTAGGAGTCTTTGCATGCTTTCTATATTTTATATTGGAAGTGCAAGTTCTTATTGAGTTCAACCCATCTCCTTTCCAAGATATTTCAGAGCAAGATAGAAAAGTCATTTTACAGTTGTGGGAAGTTTTGTGCCCATAACATGGTCTGTTACTTTGATTTAAGAAAGCATTTGAAAACAAATTTCTTAAGAAAATATTTGAACCTAGGTAGATGAAGTGATTGGAAAATTTCAGTGCTATGTAGTTGAGCTACTGACAGTTTTGTTAAGTAATTCAAAAGTAAATATATGTGGAAAGTTTAGGATATTACATAACAAGGAACTTAATGTCTTATGCACATTACATAGTGTTGTTAGAATAGTGAAATTAAGATAGCAATAGGCTGGGCACATAGCTACTACAGTTGGGAAGATGAATGTATGTTTTCTTACACAACTGGTACTTTGACATGGCTTTCTGCATCATATTGCAAAAAATAATATCATCGAAATGCACGTAAAAATTTATCATAAATTTTATATGTATTTAGTCTAAATTAATTTCAAATTCCTATAAGAATACCTTATATGTTACACTGTTATATTTTTTTAACATGCCATATGCCTATAATAAATGTCAATGATTGACACTTCTTCTTGTGTTTGGGAAATATTGAGATTGATTCTCAGCCTCGAGAGAAGCTATCCTGGCTGAGGTTAGTCATCCCACCATTTAGCTCTATGTAATCTATGTGCTGTTGAAAAATCGCTAGAAACAAGGTATAGCATTCAGCTCAATTTCATAGTTACAGGCATAGTTGATTTTTTATTCATCCGTTGATGAACATTTTGAATTAGTATTTAAGATGTTAAGAAGATATGTGAATTTAGTGCTGTAATAATTTCTCCAGTATGTAGAAGCATGGAACATTTTTTAATCCTGATCACCACCCATTGTCACCATACTAGCAATATATGAACCCAAACTTTTGTAATGTGACTGTGAAAATGTTATCATTTTTAAACAATTTAAATAATTTTTTTTAAACTCGATATGAAGTAGTAAAAACTCCTATATATGTGTTGTCTTTTTACTTTCTACATTCTGTTCACTGTATTTCTTATTTCAGGATATTCAGAACAGTTGTGAACCTTCCATGTTCTCTTTGGAGAGACTACTGTTCAGTATTTCAACAGATGGTAGAACAAATGTTGAAGTTTTGAAACAGGTATGTAGTGATTGAATGTTTGTCCATCTTTTCCATGCGGCAGCACACTGAAATATAATTTGTCATTTCATGGCACTACAAATCATGTGTTCATTTAAAGTGTCTTGTATTATGCACAGTGAAACCCCTTTAAGGTTGTCTATTATCTGAAATTAAATTTTAGTGATCTGAAATCATTCTCAGTAGTAAATTTCCCCAGTTTCAGGTTTTCCTCACACTGGTATTTAAATCCTTACATATCCAGAGAAACCTTAAATACAGATTTCATTGTTTATATGAATGTATGTATGATCTTGTTCATACTATTCCATATGATACATTATGGTCTTCATTTATACTTTTGTAATGTTAAATACAGTTCAGAAAAAAACATAACAGATCAAACACATGAACCTAACTAAATAAAAGATACCACACTGTTCTTCTATTTTGTTCATTATTCTCCATCTCAGAAAATGTGTCAATATTTGTGTACTAATTTTTTGAGGGTGTTTCTTTTGAGACTCATTTAAGCTAGACCCAGTTCAGTTGAATACTAAATTCGCCCAACAATATCAGATTTCATGGAAGTTCGTAGAGTAGTTTCAGATGTGGAAATTTCAGATAGACGCAGAGACACAATCTGACCCATATTTGCCATGTGTAAAGAACGTGTATGGACTGTAACTTGCTAATGTAGCCTAAAAATAATTATATGTTTACAAATGAATTCTAAATCTGTTCATATGCATACTTCAATTTTGTTTTTGTTCTTAAATATATGTAAACAAGGGCTCAGTTTTTGCATCTTTGAATATAGTAATAATAAAAAGCAATGTGATCAGAAAAAGAAATTTCTCTTACTGACATTTTGTCTTCAAAAATGAGGGTTAGAAGATTGTGCAAGATAAATAAATTAATTTGTATTGTAGGCATCATGTTATTTGATATGGATTCCTTTATGCTTTTCATTTATTGAGGCATGTAAATAATATTTTGAGATGTTATGTAGTGTACATTATGAGCTTAATCGTGATCTGAATATTTAACCTCATTGACACAGAACCTGTTACCAAAATCTCATTTTCTTGTCCTTATTGTCAGAGTAATGGGATTTTACTATTTTATTTTATAGGTTCTACCAATGATTGTACAGATCAGACAGCAGGAACTGGACTATCGTAAGCAACTGTATGCATTGGGACTTAAAACATCGGAACGTTTGCCATTGCCTGAAGTGAACATTAAACGTCGTAAAGCTCGCCAAGCTCGCGAAGAGGAGGCAGATTATGAGTGTGAGATGTGTCGAGCTAACCTCTTTGTGTCATTGGTAAGATGGTTTGTAAACCTACATGCCATGATGCACTGCCCATGTGTTGTTTGGGTTATCAGTTCAAAGGTGTTGAGACAGATATGACATGTAACACATTGGGAGACAAGAAAAGAATGTAAAATTTTTGTCATGAATCTCAAGGGAGGAACTATTGCTGGAAAGATAATGTTAAAATGGATCTTAGGAATATAAATAAATAAATCCATGGCGTAACAGATGTTGAAATGTTGAGTGAATTAAATTGGCTCAGGTTAGAGTTCATTGGTGGGATTTTGTGACGATGATGATAGGCATTTGTAGTTCATGAAAGGAAATTTCTTGACCAGCTGAATAACTGTTAGCTTCTCAATGAGTTTATTATTTATTTAATTACATTCTCCATCCTGGGAATCTTGTCAGTATAGCAGACAGCATGCATGGGAGATCACACAAGGAATTGTCAATGTCACTAATATATTGCCCCATGTGAAGGCTGTGTTGGATCACTGGATCAATCTGTAAATTGCCTGATGGTATCAGTGCATGTCATTTGGTGGACAGAGTGGCACTAGGGTAGAATTTTCTTCGAGTATTTGAAATTTCCCTGCTATTCATATGTCATACTTATCTGTCACTGCCCCCGGATTGTATTACAAATGTAACTAGCAATATATAAATTATAATTTTGTGATCCTCAATTAGGTCTTTTCATCTGACCTCATAATAAAAGTTTAGTTTTTGTGTGTAATAAGCAGGATTGAAAACGGTAAAAGTAGTCTGGTTATGTTCAAATTAAAGAAGTTTAGTTTCAGAATACAGTATGCAAGGATTAAGTAAATACAGTAGAACTTGTCTAATTATTGGTTCAAACTCAAAAAGCTTAATTTTGCATAGAGTAAGAATTAGAGAACTTATGTAAAAGAAAAGCTGTTTTAAATGGAAAGCTGTCTTTATTAAAATTTTCTCCACTCCCACCAAAATATAAATGTGAACAGCACTGTAATAAATAGATTTCCTGATGTGTTTGAAAACATAACCATTAATTAATCACCATACTAAACTGTCTTCACTTGGTCTCTTTCATACACAGCTATTAACAAAATGATCCACACACCCCTTGAAAGAGCTGATTCAGCTGTGTTTCCAGCATGGCAGAACTCAGTACACTTCATAAAATAACAGAAATAATATGTAATATTTTTTATCCAGATGTGATTATTTTGTTAAATAGATATTTGTCTATTTGTCTGAAATGGAAAGATGATGCACTTAAATGATTCTGTTATGAGTAGATTTTACTGTGTTTACTCTATGTTCACAGGTAACTAACGCACATGAAGAAGCAGTTTACTGTCTTCCTCATGCAGTAGAACTTCTGACAAAGAAGAGGCATGATCTCAAATACTGCAAACTCTTGTACACATATGATCAGGTAACAATCTGAAATGGAGCATGAGTAGTTCTTTATAGAACACAATACCATTACAGACCTCTCATCTGTCATTAAGCATATCAGCATATTGGTTGTGCAAATTTGTGAGGTGGGAACAGCTCTAGTGCCATGTAGTGTTTGGTCTTTAAATTTAATATGATGATATTAAAAAATGTGCAATTTCATGTAAAATTTGTGAAAGGAGATATCATTTCTGTTGGACGAATAAAAGAGTACAGAAAGTAAAATAGCCCTTTGAGGGAAGAACAGATTGCTCTGGAAAGTATTTGGTCTTTACAGGGATGAAGAACATGGGTAATTTAGGATATTACATAATAAACTCTGTCTTTTATGAGAAAACTTAATGTCATTAGGATTTTGATGTAAAGGAGGTAACATTGGGCTGGATGTGTTTCTCAGTTCAGAATATGCAGAACTTTAGTGAAGACTGAGGAGGTGCATTTTCAAGAGACAGGTTGTGAGGGTGGGAGGTGGATGGAACTGGCTCATGAGTGTGTCAAATGGTAGGCTTTGGTATTAACAGTGTTAAACTATTACTAACTAGATACTTATGATTTGTTTCCATTGCTCTTTACAGGCTGAACTGAATGAACTAATTCAGAAGCTACAAGAAAGAATTGAAGCGAAGAGTCAGAGAAAATCGCAAGGGAAGCACAGCACCTCTTCACATAAGCCATGACTGCAAACATATATTTGTTAAGGTGAGTAGTGATTGGAAGAGCCTGAAGCTGTAGCTACTATCACTGCCACTAGAGGTAATAATGACAAAAAAAATAATTTTTAAACATATTGAAAGCAAGAATTAAATATGTGATGCTTTTGTACCTTATTTTGACCTAGGGTTTATTTTAAGAAATGCACATACAGCAGAAACAATGCTAGAGTGAAATGATTTGAAATATAGTGTAATAAATGCTGCCAGATGTTGTAGATAGGAATGTTTATTTTATACAGGCTTTTCATTTGATGCTTCTGTTTGTAAAACAACTGTTTTAGAAATATAAACACTTTACTTTATACCTGTAATATGTAAATTAAGAGTTTCAGAGAATATATTCAGAGACCTATTTAAAACATACTGAAGCAGGTCTCAACAAATTTTGTCATTATAGGTGCCACCTTCAGAAATTTGGGGACAGAAACCAAAAAGATAAATTGGAAAGATATTATTTTTAAGTCAGTGGTTATGAAATACACATTTGTTTTCACAGAAATTTTATACAGTGAACAAATGTAGATTAATAGTTCTTTGTGTGAATGTAGCAATATTGTAAGACTCTAACACATTATAATATTCAGTGGGCTTTGTCTTAATGATAAAGACTCAAAGTACAGTATAACTGTGATAGAACGAATATGGCCTATAATGAGAACTGCATTACAGCAAGCACATTAATCGGCCCCATCAATTTCTTCACGTTGAATATGTGGAAAATGCCACATAAAAAGTAATTGTTTTTTATCATTTTCATTGCACTTAGCAGTTCATAACTTTCATCTGTTTGCATCATATACTTGCAGTTTTACTTCTGAAGCTATTGTGGGTTTTAAAGGTACTATTAATCCACCCTCTTTGCCTCTTCATAGTCTACACAGATTACCTACCTGCTAATCTAGGAGATGAAGTCCACATTCCAGATTATAACTGTGAGTAGCTTATCCCTTGCAGATTTTAGTTCCTGAAGGGAGGAGGAAAGAGAACACAGAAGAATTTTATAAAGAACAATTCAGAATTGCAAGCTATTAACAGATTTTGCTTCCTTCATTGACATGAGAATTTTAAACACTTTCTTTAATCTCTTCTCTAAGAGAGCTACACAAAAATAATAGACTATGTAATTACCAACAAGAAACTCTTTTCTTTAATACAAGAGTATGTAGAGGAAGTGAGGCAGGATCAGATTGTTTACTGATTTCATTTTTGATAATGTTTAAAAGGTGTTTGAAAATAAAATCAAAACAAATACTACCCACAAAATAAATTTATAAAGTACACTTATTAAGAAATGGAAGGAAGTGTCAGACTCATATCAGAATAGAATGAATAAACATATGCAGGAGGTTAACTTGAATAATAACAGTATTAATCAAGTTTGGGAAATTTTCAAATCCATAGTACACAGAACAGCAACAGAAGCATTTGAAGAAAAAAGGTTAGCTACCAGAGGAATACAAATGCAGCACAGAAAATAAAAGATAAGAAACAAGCATACTGGGTGTTTACATAAAGCAGCTCTGCAACAGACATAACTGAATAGTGGAACTAGAATATGATGTGCACAGACATCAAAATAAAGCTTATAAAATAATTAAAGAGTCAAATAAAGCAGAGAAAAATGCTGCAATATGCTTTGAACCCTATACCCTCTGCATCAATGGGAACAATGTTTTCAAGAATTATGGATAAGCAAAAAATAAGTAACAGTTATGATGGCAGAAAATGAAGTTTATTAGGTCCCATTACTCTGGATAAATTGTTATTAACATTCAGAAGTAACAGAAGCACCAGGACCAGACAATACAAATATAGAATTAACAAAAAAAGGCATTGTTACCTTATCTTGTGAAATTTTAAGAATTTTTGAATTCATGTTGGAAAACTGGTTCGATTCCTGATGATTGGGAAAAAAATTGATGTTGGCAATATTTAAGAAAGGCAACATATTTATAGAGGCATAGATCTGTTGAACTCTTTTTTAACTGGAGTATGCAAAAGTATTATTAGAGTGAGTAAATAAAATAGCAGAAAGCATTTTAAGAGAGGAATGAAATGGCTTCAGGAAATGCTGCTATTGCAAACATAGTGTTTATTCAGTAACCCAACTAATAGAAAAAATAATTTAATCTTCCCACATATATTGCCTTTATAGATTATATAAAGGCTTTTTATATGGTTAACAGAATAAGTTATGGCAGATATTTGCACTGAAAGGATTTCTTAAATTCAGTGTACATGGCTATTTCTTGCCTTTTCACTAATGTAGCCATGTACCAAGATGCAATCCTTAAAATTCTTCTACATTGTTCATCATTTAAAAGAATACCTATGAAATATGATCAACTGTTCTGTGAGCTTGAAGACCAGTGATACAGAAATAAATATGTAACAGAGAATGAAGATTTTGAATTAATGCTCTTTGAGTGTTTTTGCCAGAAAAGACTGACTGGCATACCTTTCGAGAGACCAGCCATCAATACAAGAACTATTTTGTGGCACATTTTACAGTTTAACATAATAGCTGAATCATGCCATCTCTGGATCCCTGGTATGCGTAACATCAAAATGCTGCTTGTATTCCAGTCTTGGGGTTTAGAACCAGCCCATAACACTACTACAGATACATAAAAATTGCTTTGACTTTTTAAACTTTTTATGCATTATATCTGTCAAGCAGGTTTGATTCAAGGTGATATGTTTATTCTCATGCACATATACACACACAAGATTATGGGTGGAATGTATGGGGGACTTGCAGTATGCTGCAAATAATGGGAAAACTTGCTTGTAAAGGATGGTGTCTAATAATCTCTAATTTGTGAGTACAAGAGGTTATGTAAGTGGGAAAAATATTTAGTATTTGATTATGGTAATGGTAAAAACATCAAGAATTAAATTATCATTTTAATATCTTCATTATACTGTATATTCCATCATAAAAGACAAAACCTATTACGTAAGATTTGAGGTTTTCACAGCGGTGAGTATGAGGATTTCTGTCTTCTGGGTTGTTGCGCCGTGTAGTCTGGTCGATGCTAACCAACGTTTCAGAGGTCATACTGCCTCTGTCATCAGGGCGATGAATATGCCAATAGGGTGTGTGGGGCTAGGTTTATAGGGCCGGAATGTGAAAGGTGTAGCCTGCCCCGAGCCAATGGGAGCAGGCGTGGGAGTGGACCAATGGGAGCGTGTGGGCGAGTGTGGGAGAGGGAGAGAAAGGGTGAGTTCGGTTGGATGGATCCTGGCCCTGAAAAGGGCCATGTTAGTGGTCTGATTGGTTCTGGTGGTGCACTCTTGCCCGCTCTGATGGCGGAGGCAGTATGACGTCTGAAACGTTGGTTAGCATCGACCAGACTACACGGCGCAACAACCCAGAAGACAGAAATCTTCAAAACCTACGTTTAACATAAGTCCCCCAAAACTAGGGGTCGTCTTATACATAAAGCATCAAATATGAACCTTAAATTCTTAAATACTGTTATGTTATTTATGTATATCAAACATGAGGTTCAGTTAGAAATAATTATAATGGGAATTAAGTGATTTGCATCAGTTAACATAGAGATGTTAATAAAATAATATGTAGTGGGATAGCATGACCACAATTACTGTAATTACAAAGTTGTCAGGATGAACAAAACACCAGAGCCAAATGTAAAAGCCAAACATAAATCCAGACAACTACCAGAATTTTGATGAGGATTTTGCAGGATTTTAATGAATGTTAGTTAAAAACAAACAATATATTTTATAGTTGTTTTATCTGGCAAATATAGCCTAAGGCTTAAATTTTTAATTGAAAATTCAGGGTCATCTTATGTGCCAAGTCATTTTGTACTCCAGTATATGTGTTAATTTGTGCAAACAATGTCAACATACCTGCATTCATTGGAGATTATGTATTTCAACTATTTTTGGGTATTACAAATACCTGTTAGAAATTTTAATAAGGATTTTCCTAATTTTATAAATTTTTGTTATGTCAAGGTTACACTCTGCATTTATAAACCATTAATCAGCATGTTTTTGGAGCAGTGTGTTTACAATTATTCATCATAAAGGCATTCTTTGTGATGCACAAGCAGATAGGCTGTGTTTAATTTCAAATCACTGTGGTCTGTGCTTTCCTGCCTTCTGATGACATAGTATGAACAGAGAGTCTTGTTTTGTTATCATCTGAAGCTGTGATCTGCATGTCAGATTTGCATCTATAAACTACCAGTTTTACATACATAAATTAACTCTTCCTTGAGAAGCTGACAGTCACTCAGGAGATAAAATTCACCATATTTCATGAAACCACAAGGTTTATTACTGTGTCCTTAAGATCCCACCATTGAACTAAGTTTTGAACTTGCATACATTAATATAGAAAAAATTCAGTGATTCCAGAAAATACTAGGTGAAATGAATTGGCAACATGGCTGCCTGGTTCCCAGGATTTGTTGAGCCCTGAACAGAAATATGAATTAAAATTGGAATTTGGTAAGATAAATGACCACTATTCATTGTCCATGGCAATTTACCATATATATTCTTGTGTGATATTGATTCTATAATGTTTATTGTGCGTACAAGATGCAACTCTTGATTACATACATGAATGACAGAAATGGACACTTTGGATAAAGCAAAACTTTATTACAAATCTAAGAAAATGTTAAGTAAATAAATGTGCCTAAGGTCAGTAAGACAAAAAAGCAAAACTCTGATTTTCATAAATATATTATAAGAGCATGAAAGTTAAGTTTATAAATGTTTAATATTTTTAGTGCCATTTAAATATAAGAATACTAAAAACTAACTCCAAGTATTTCACGGATTACATATTCCTTGTGCAGCTAATCGAGGGTGTAACTACATTATGTTCAAGTATTAACTATGTTTAGCAACTCCAGAAGTTATTAATATGCACCAGTTTCTTTAACCCTTGTACCCTACTTGGAGTATTTTCTGATTCCAAAATTAACTAATTACAAGGACCAGAGAGTCCTTTTTGAGATGCCAAAAGTCACTTGACTTGTCAAGAAATTATCCATCTTTTATGGAACCCAGAGGTTAATCAGCATCTTCAAATCTCTTGGTCTTAAGATCCATTGTAACACATTATAGTATTATCCTCTCATTTATTTATGTCCACCAAGTGGCTTCTTCCCTTTAGGTTTTCTGGTCAAAATTTTGTATGTGTTTCTCTTCTCCTTCACTGCTTTTTGTTTAATTCTGGGAGCATGATAGACATTTAGTTATACCTTCTTCAAGATTTTCTGTGAGAATATATGTACTTTCCAAATTCCTTTATACTCTTATTTGGAGATTATAAGAGTAAGTACATGCAAGCAAGAGTGTCAGAACTATGAATCTTTAAACATGTCTTTTAAAAGTAAAGCATTAATAAGATTGAAAAATTTGTTCATGTAAGAAAAACTTCTTGTAGATTTTAAACAATTGAGAAGGAAGTAGGGTAGAAGGGTTAACTGGTTTTTGTGTGTAATACTGTATCATACAGTGAGGTATTGTAATTGATATTGTGAGAACTTGTTCTAATACACAGGATAAGAATACATCAGTTTCAATTACCTACTTAAAAACCCAGTGAAGATAATATTTATATACTTAGGTTTGTTGGCAAAATAAATTGAATGTAATTAAGCTTTAAATGAGAAGTAATAATGAGTATGTCTTTTATAATAATTATAATGAATATTGTAGCTAACATCTATTCATATTTTGTAGGGTAGATTAATTCTATAATACATATCCCAGTAGCATACTGTAAGCCTACTTCTTTTCTTTAGGGTTTTCAATTGAAAATGCTATCATCAGTTACATGGGCAGGACCTTAACATAATAAATGAATACAGACTTTATTATTATTACTGTTATTAATTTCAAATCTGCAGCAGTTAGCTTTATCCATTTGTTATTCTGAAACAGTTTACTTCCAGTGCATTTTATTATCATCCAGCGATGTGGATTGTTGTGGTGTCTTCTTTATTACTATAAATTATTACATAATTTTTAAATTTTTTATTAACATTTATTAGCTTCTTCTACTTCCAAATTCTAAAGTTTTGTTCTAAGACTGTTCAGAATGGTGTAATAAAAAGTGCTAAAACCTAAAATTTATAGTTGTCTGTGTTCTTCTGGATTGTGAAATCATACGGAGAACTTTAGTATCTACCTACTAATCCACATGGCATTATAAACCAGAAGAACAACAATGACATCTTCATTGGTATGAGAACCTCAAGTCTCACAATTCTAAAATTGGTCTCTCCAGCACATCTGTGTACATCATAGGTCTCTCCTTCCTTACGTGAGCACATGTTCTGATACTCTGTTGGGTACCCTTGCAAGAAAATTTGATTCACCCTATTTCAAGGGGTGCTCTCCCAACCTCAACAGTGTAGCCTGATTCCTATAAAAGGGGGAGTAGCCTAAGTAACTGTCAGTCACAGAGCAGCGAGCACACCTGCCAGGAGTATATATTTGGAATTTATGCAAAATATTCTTGAAATACATAATTCTCTGTCCTTCCTAAGTGTTGCAAGCATTTTGTTTGATATTATAATATTCCTGTATTAATATAGACTGTTTTTAGTCCTTTTCTGGGTTTATAATCAGGCAATCTGTATTCAGCCATTACTCTCGGAAAATACGTCTCTGCTGCTTCTAGTCTGCTTTCTATTTTCTCTTACATATTTCTTATGTATTTGTATTATATGTTTGTTTACATTCACCTTCATCAGATTAGACTCGGTTGTGTGTTAGAGTAGAGAAAACCAGAGCATTCTTCCCTTGAAAGTGTTGTAATTAATAAATTCAGAGTATAATATATAATATTTTAATTAGTGGCAGTGTGAGATTTACATTGTTATGATCTAATTATAGGAAAATCTTATAAATATCTATTTAATATACAAGAGAACAGAAGAGATGATAAGGTTCTTGTCCTTAGGTTCTGTGACTCCAGTTCAGAATGTAGCTTTGGCTTTCAGGAATGAGCCACATTGAATGTTGTAACATTTGATGCAGCTCATCCCTGAAAGCTGAAGTTATACATTACATACAGTTGATAAGGTTGTTATGGTAAAGAAGGGACAGACAGTTCATAAATAAGGATATTGTGAAGAGTGGTGACACTTCTAACTTCACAGATAGGGCAGAAATTTGTGTGTGATTTAGTTAAAAAAGAGTAACAGAGATTTGTTATGTGGAGATAGTTCAGTGAAGTAGGTGCGTCAAGTGTGCTTGTGTAAACCTTCTTTCCAGGTTTAGTTCACAGTGGCAGAGTGTGTTTACTTTTTCTCGTTAAACAAACTCCCTGTATTTATGTTATGAATAGCAGTGGCCTTGTATGTGTGCCATCTCGATCTTTATGCAGTGAGAAAATTAAAAGAATTGATGATAAAAAAACATTTCTTGAACTGCTCCTACATAGATTAGACACTTCTTTTTACATTTCCTTAAACATTGTTTGAGTTTGAGCCCAGAAGTTACAAAACCTGTTTTTTTTTATGTTGTAACAGAGCACACTGTTTCATGAAGTAGATTTTTTGATGTAAATACGTCTATACGGAAGGGTCATTCGGCCAAAAAAGGGAAAGGAAAACGTGTAACAAAAATGTGTAAGATCCATATCAAAAAATCGACAACAATGGTTAGCTTGTGTGCATTGTTATGTTACCTAGGAAATGTCATCTGTTTACTCGGCATTGTTGTGTTATATTACTGCCATCAACAATCCGCTTTCTTAACAAGATGGATGACATTGAAGATAACATTACGTTACATTTCATTACTTTACATACCAATGAAACAGGAATGCATTTCCCAAGGACTGGTATGCTCCCTGATTCACATTGTAGATTACAAATAATAGCTAACAAACCAAGTTTTTACTGTCACATCTAACATATTTATTTAAACATAAATAACATTTTTGGGATATTAAAAACATAGAGGCATCATCCACATTAAATATTTCACAATTAAAATGTACTCACAAGGGCATATAAAATAATTTGTCAAACATATCTATCTTCCTAGAATCTGGGATTTGTTACAACTCTGCCATGCCATTTTGAGGGATGCAGTGACCAATCCTTAAACTGTGTTCACTTCTTCACTACTCGCCTAGTCACACCATTAATATCAGCAAAAGAGGGAGTAAAAAAGAAGTCATATTCATTATAAACTATTTTGATACAAAAATACATATATTTCTAGTTGTAAAATAAGCTGTAAATTACATATAATGCAAACTAAATTTTTTGAAGTGTGATAAATTAAACACTCTCAGTGATCCATGAATCATTGGTTGAGAAACTATGGAAGGACTCCTGCTGCACTAAAACAGTTTCAGCATTTTCTTAATATTTGTGAATCTTTTTGTCTGTCCCTGCCTTATCTTTACAACCACCTCAAATAATTTGTGGTGTGGTAATTTATATTGTGTGTGGAAGAGCATCATAAAATCCATCTCTGAATGACCCCCACAGGCTGTTGTTGGTCCACAACTTTTAAGATAATGTTGCCATAAATTATTGTATAAAAGAAGTAGTTGGGTAACAATAATGTACATTCTAAGACCATGGCGTATTGACAATAGGTGTGAATATCCTTTGTCTTTAGGAGACATATTATTAACAACATATTCAGTCAGTTGTGTAGAATAAAAAAATTGTACTCAGGTTTGAAACTTGTATGTGTATTTGTAGTTTCTAAGGTCACCAAAGCATTTGTATTGCCACAGTTGAAATGTTGTCATTTTCAAGAAGTTGTCATATTAATTCAGAAATTAAATTAGTGATCATATTAGTAAAGGTACTAATTGTTCATGTGCTGTACATATCTTACATGCTGTCTTTTTAAAGTGGGTTTAAATCAACTTTAGAAACCTGTTTTATTTGATATTTTGTACAGTGTAGGAGAAATGATTGGCTTGAAATTCAAGTTCATGCTTGGACCAGAAAACAAAAAGTCTCTCTTAAATTGTGATAATTTCAAAACCATTTGTTGGGAAATCCTTTTGTGCCAAAATAGAGTCCAAACTGTTCAGATGTAAATAGTACTAGACTGTATGATGCATGACTTGAGTATCAAACAACTGGTCATGATGTATAGATACTGGAAGGAAATGACAGAATGAGTTTCTAAAAATGGTTTATGATGCTAGAGAAAAAGGATGTGACAGTAGTTAGACTTTGCATCCTTCAAGTAACATGTCTACTTTATGTTATGGTGCATGTGGCTGCCGTTTAGAATTTAAAAAAGTTAAACTCTTTCTGGCTTAAAGAAAGCTATTAGTGTTCACCTGTGTTCAAGAGTGCAGATTTACATGCTATAAAATTACAAGGTTGTCTATGCATAAAGAACCATTTTTATATGAATATATAATCATTTTAAGACTAAATATTTACAAAAATTATGTGCTAGAATTTTGTCAGTGTGTATTGATATAGTTCTTTTGTAATATGCTTCATAATCCCACAGTTGGTCTGTCACCTGGCAAGAAGAACGTGAGTGCAGAAAGCTTATGTATATGCTGGCAACAGTTGCCTTCCATCCCCATGTAGCTCTCACACAAAAGATTTTGTATTGTCATTTAATCATTGCTGTAATTATCAGGACACCAGTTACAAACATTTATACTGCCTAATTCCAAACTTACCAGTTAATACATGGTGCCAATCACCCCTGCTTGCTCCAGTACCATTTTAGTGTACTTAATGAGAAATCTGTTGTTCTCCACTTTCCACTTTTAGACAGTTCTTCAGTTTTTGGTTTGTATATGGTTGTTTTGGGAGTGATACAAATGACACTCATTTCATTTGTAAGAAGACTTTTATGCACCAAATATTGTATTAAAAAATAATTTAAAAGTTGAAAAAAGTATTTTTAAAATATACAGAATGAAGGTGCAAGTGTAATTGGAGAAATGCAAAGGGAAGTAATTTGCAGCAAATACCAGTATTATAAAACAATTAAAAGATTAACATGTTTGGAAACAAAATAATGAGGATTAGTAAATTGACAATTGAAAGATCCAGGGTGCAGTGAATGGAGTTATTCTTCAGTTACAGTTAAAGTGCTACTAGAATTATGCACCTATGTCATTTTGACATTTGATGTTTCTGTTAGTGAGATATAACTCTTCTGAGCCAGTATTGATCTGCATTCTACTGAACATAGTGGCTGAATGCTTAAGTACCTATGTCATTTTCAGGATGTAATGTAGTTCATTCTTGGTCTAGGCTGGCTATATGCTGCAAACCGTGTAAGTTTCAAATGTTTCAGGATGAAGAAGTTAGACCCATCTTACTACTTTACAGACCGGATTTTACAAGGGACTTGTAACTACCAGGTGTTTGTTTCTTTGATGATGGCAGCTTGATCTGAATTGGCAACGTAAAATTAATAAAACTGATAAAGCTGGACTGAGCATTTATTGGCACATGGAGTTGGGGCCCACAGAAACTCTGGTACAGGATGACATCAGATGCTTTGAGCAGTTTAGTTTAATTGCACTACTGTACTGACAGGAATTTTTATGGTTTCCCTAAGTCTATGCTGGGATAGTATCTTAAGATGGGTCATCACTGCCTCCTTCCATATCACCACTCCATGATCTAACGAAGCAAGCATGTGTAGAGATAATGCCCTAAATTTATACCCATGGGATACCAGTTCAATTATGAGCTCGGTTACTGCCTATCCTCAGAGGATAATGCCCTAAATTTATACCCATGGGGTACCAGTTCAATTATGAGCTCAGTTACTGCCTATCCTCAGAAGTTTTCCATGGTTTTTATCACTTTTTCAGGTGAATACTGGAATAGTACCCTCAAAAATACCACAATCATCTCTTTCCAAATCCTTACCTGCTCACTATTCATGATCATTTTACAGAATAGCTTATGTTGCAGTAATGATTAAAGAGGGCCATACATGCTCGTATTTTTATTTAGATATATCTGATAACATTAATAAATGTTAGTACTCTGATCATAACTAATTTGGTGCCTATACACTACCCAGGTTTTGATGCAGATTTCTTTGTGCAGTTCAGTTCATTTTGTGTATGTGAAGTGATAAATCCTGTTAAGTATAGAAAATGAAAACACTTAATGAAGTAATTTATTTAGCTCTTATTCTAAACGTTACTGTTGAAAAAAAAATTGAAGTTCAAAAGAAAGTAAGTTGTCGAAAACAGTGACTGCTGAAAAGAACCAATTTTTCTCACATTAATTTGTTATCCATAAAATTGATATAATGACCTCGATGTGTATGAAATTACTTATTTTAATCTAATATCAATGGTATCTTCCCTAATTGAAAGAAAATACAATACCTGCATGAGGCAAGCCATGCAAAGTGTATTGCAATATTGTTACCTTTTGTCAAATACATGTAGCAGGTATATTTCGTTAACGCGAATTTGCTCCAATGAGCTCGATGAATCGGTAAAAAGCTGTTTGTGAAATGCAAACTTTTGCATATGCGAGTTTGCTCTTATGCAATTTCATTCCTGGCGCTTTAAACTTTCAAACGACTAATTTAATCTCTGCGGAGTTACCGGGGTTATTTTTACTACGCGATTTTCTATAGGTCGGCGTCTTACATGAATGCAACTATCGCATAACAACAGAGATGACTGTACACATCAATCACATGAAAAAATCAGTCATTCGCGGGCACCAACGAATTGCCGATTTAAGTGTATAAAATACATTTTTAAATTCCCTTTATTTTATTTACATTATTTCAGAGCTCTAAATGTAATGCCATTATATTACTCGTCACTGTTTGGGTGCTGGGAACGCATGTCATTGACTTCCCATTGATTTACATTATAAAAGAGTTTCAATTTACGCAGGTTCGTCCAGGAACGCATCCCCAGCGTAAATCGAGGGCTACCTGTACTGGGATGGTACCTTTAGATATGCAATGACCACTTGCTTCTAAATCCTTTCTTATCCATTCTTCACTGATCATCTTACTATTTGACAGTATCCTTGTTATTCTGACATTGATGGTAGATTTATTGAAAGTTGTGAAATGTTTTGTTTTCAGAACAAAATGTTCTCTTACAATACATACACTGTAAAAAAGTTGTTTGTTGAAGTTAAGCAAAATGATGTAGTGTGCTAGCGGTTTATTACCAAAATTTTCATATATTTAGCTACACTTAACATTTTTCAGAAAAGACATACTGTACTTGCCCCAAAAAATTAAAACCAGAATTATACATGCTTAAAATTAACTTCAGATCACACTTCAATTTGACAAGCATATTATAGGTAACACATACTGAGTTTTATAAATATTGTCAAACCTACATATTAACAAAAACAAACATAAAAGTAATAACAACAATACTGACATAAATCATCCATTTACCATTAATAATCACAGTTACTGAACACATGTTCAATATTCTGAGGAACAAACATGCTTTGTTATGAAAAATGCAACCGTTGTATTGGAATCTGTACTTCACATTTTATTTAATGTGATATTCTTTAAATATGTGTCAAAATAAACTAGGATAAGGATAAACACTTCCCATGTTAAAAGTCAGCTAGTATTTAAACAGTGTCTATTTAAAATATATTGTGCAGTTTTCAGGCAATTTTGGTTAATTTTATATTTGTCTTACTTTTCACTGTTACTTTATTTTGCTAACATGCAAAAAGCATTGCCAAATAATTATTCAAAACTTTGTGTTGGATCAGTCTAAATACCACCAAGCAAAGAGGCATCATGAATTAGGATACTGGTGAATATGTTTGCATGAAAAAAACATCTAATGTGAATGCTGTATGTCATTCTTCGAGTTGCGATGCCACCTCTTTGTTTGGTCAGATTAACTTAAGTACATAATACTGACTAAAGCACTTTTCACCCGACAACTTCTGCACAGAGCTGCAGTATCAAAACTACCATAATCTGTGTTACAGTATTTTAGGAAAATCAGCCTGACATCTTTTTGAACTTGCGTATTTTAAAATAAGGTACATTTTATTAATAACTAAAAGAGGATAAGAGACACTAATGCTACATTACATTACATCACATACATGTGGGAATGTATTGAAAAGCAATATTATTTCTATGATTTCCAGTTTTACGTTATTAAAAGATGCCTTTGCTTTGCAACTGTTTATATACATTTCTAGCACTAACTATAAAAATAATTTTAGATTGTGTTTATAGCAACCATTAATTAAAAATGTTTCCCTGATTTGCATTCCACCAACTGGGAATACAAATGCCAAATTGTGAACAAAAACAAAAGAAGGCAACAAGAGTATGCTACCGTGGATTGTCCCTTCTTTGTAAAATGTTAAACAGAACATTTGATGAGTCTTCATCACTCTCATCTGTGCTGTTAATGTTTCCTGGCCTAAATATGACAGATGACTCTGCAAGTAGAGGCACTCGTAAATCTGAGCTGTTATCCAATTGTTTCGGATCTCCCTCGCTGTTGAATGAGTCTTCGTCCAATTCATCCATGTTACTTCTTCTGCTGGCAATAGTTGCTTTGTGCAAAACATGGAATATAATTCCTCCCAAACAGAAAAATAAGCCCACAACATTGATTAAATTCATCTGATCACCTGTTTCAACAGCCAGTACCAGTGTACACACCTCCTGCCAAGAAAAAATTGTCACATAAAGATTCGAACACATTACAACATTACAAGAAAAGTTGGTGAAATTAAGGATACTATGGTATGGACATGTATTATGTATAGGCAATAGTAGGAGCAAATGAAGATGTCAACACCTGGGGAGATAACACAAGTATCTAGGAAGGAAATGAAATAGGTAAAATGAATAGGAATGCAAGAGTATAGAGGGATGGAGAATGCAGTCACAAGATGCCCACCCTGGCTGAAATGTCTTCAGTTGATTATAAAATCCACTGACTGCAGGACCTCCCTTGAACAGTTTATGGTTACCCAGCTGGTGAAGAAATTATCTGCTTTTATGGAACCTGATGCATGTAAGTAAAAGTCTTGAGACTATATTTAATTACAATGTTTTCACTCCCTTATGTCAATTTGTGGTCACTGTATTAAGCTTGTATTTATATGCTTCAGTAAATATTTCATGTTGGGGTGGCAGTTAAAGTAATGATGATGTCTGTCTTCTCGGTTGTAGGACTGTGTAGGCTGGTAGTCGTTTCCAACACAGAATAGAGCCATCTTCAGACTCACTGCCATGAAACCTCAAATCCTATTTATAAACTAATGATGTTCCAGCTACATACATTTTAACTAAAAAACAATGCTGACACCCACATAGTAGTGACATAAATGCAAAAAATGTATGACATTGATTTCTTTTAATATATGGCATTAATTCTGACCTGACCATGAAAGGGTTATTAAATACTCATGACATTATTTCTCGTACCTTGAAAATGCCTGCCACAGACAGGGTCAGGCTGGAAGTGTGTGTGACAACCATAAACTCTGCAACTTCCATGCAGAATGCCAACACAGCACCCATTAGAATCTTCAACAGTGTGATGATAACAACAGCCACATCTTGGTAACGGAAGAATTTACAGTTGCTAGCCAGTGCCATGCCTACAAAAAAATCATTTATATACATATGAATGATGAATACAGTGATGACATATTACCTGACATTTACCACTAAATCAGTAATCACTTTCCTGAACTAAGAATGAACTTGGAGAAGAAGAGGAAGAGGTAATGTTAAATTCTTTGGTATACCTTGGCACTTTGCAATAACTGAATGGTAGCTTGCATCATCCATTATTAAATTAACCTCTTGTAGATAATTAACATCTATTGAAAACCAGCCTGTGATGTCACTGGTCATTCCTTCCTGATGACCAAGCACTGATTTTTATCCAAAACCCACACACGCTCAAGTTTGAATCTGGTACATGTAGATCCTGTAAGACATACAGGAAGTCTCATTCCTTTGTCCAAATGAACCCTACATGCTAAAACCTACTGTACCGCACTGCATCACCTCAAGGATGACATATAGATGACACAACTTGGCTTGTTTAAAGTAAACATCCTTTACAACAGTGCTCATCTCCATATGGTGAATGCCACAATGCAACTCCTGCAGCAGTTTCATCAGAAATGTCTTCCTGAGCCACTATACAACAGACCTTGCACCTAGCAATTTCCACCTCTTCGGACAACTGGAAAAGCAGTTCAAGAGGCAACACATATGATGTGATGATGAGGTAAAAACTAAATTGTGCTAGTGGGTACAAACACAGCCTCAGTTTCTTCCTTGCATGAATCAAACAAGTGGTATATTGGTAGGATAAATATCTCAGTTGCTCTGATGATTATGTGGGGAAATTCAGGGTTTTATCTATTAAAAATTATTGTGTTTGAAACCTCTGTTGAAGCAGTAAGTGTGAATGTAATATACTAATATTAAACATCTACTCATCTATATGTATATTTGTGTGTACTTGCTGCCTCCATCATACGGGTGTCCTGATGATGGAGGCAGCAAACACCTCTGAAACATCATAAAACTACTATCAGATTACATGGTGCAACATATCGGTAGACAGTCATCTTCATCCATTAAGTTGTTTCGGAGATGAAACATAGAAACAGGCATCGCCTATGTATCCATGTTATATATTTTTGCAAAGAATGCATAAAAATAAGTATATTAGTGGAATATGTGAGATCCATTGTGTATGTGCAACAAGATTATTCAGGAGAAGAAGGGCAGAAAAACTGTCTAATACCAACCTTCAAATCCAATTGCAAGGGGGAGGATGGCCACAATCATCCATGTCTGCACATGATACACCATATCTACTGGATTTTCCAAACCCAGCTTTGATTTTTGCATCACAAGCTGTGCTAGGGTCCATCGAAGTCCACTATATATAACAGAGAATATTGTACTGTGCATTAACAGAAGGAAAAAACAAAAACAATTATAATGTGCTGTACAAAGAAATGTCTAATGGTAATGGACAGAGGTGAATCATGTGGGAGGATAGGCAAAGATAAATTTCTAAGATTCAGCTCACAAGAAGACATGAGAACCTCAAAGGATTCATACATACTTTCAACTTGAAATGCTAGAGACCATGCATGGATTCATAATATGAGAACCTCAAAGGATTCATACATACCTTCAACTTGAAATGCTTGAGATCATGCATGGATTCATAACACCCTAACATTAGGTGAACTGAATGGCAGATACAAATATACTGTACTACATTTTAACTTTAGTCACTGTAATTTGCCATTCTATCACCTGATGGACCTACAATGGGATTATGTAGTGAAACTGTGATCTGTTGTGTCAAACAAAGATTTTACTGATGAGCCCAAACATTTTAGGAAAGGGGCCAAATGGATGTTAGACAAGACAAAATATGTGAGGAAGGGAAGAAACTGAAAAAAAAATGAATATGGAGAAAAATGGTTGAATATACATATATACTGTGAAGTCTATAAGATAAAATAAGTAACTTCTGCTATCTATATAGCAAAATTCATCAAGAGGAGTCACAGGAAGGAAATAAGAAACTAGCAATCAGAATCAAGTTTTTAAAAATTATTGAGAAAAGCAGAAACAAGAGATTTACAAATGAATAAGAGAGGAGAATAAACATTTACAAATTGCAAGAGGATTTAAGAAGACATAAATGGTTTGGATATGTTAAAGGACACAGGTAGCCCAAAATGGCAATAGAATTGAAACTGGAAGGAAAAGTATGATGAACAAGTGAGGACAGTCATTGGAAGGACAGACTTGAAACTACTGGAGGATAGAACAAACTGAAACATTTATCACATACTTGACCTCAGAAGAGGTAATTATATAAAAGGACTGCCTCCACTGCACTTCAGAGGGTTTCCATAATATGTAAGTCACTTTTTCTTTTCTTTCCACTTGAATTAATGGAATTATAGACTAACCTTGTGAAAGATGCTGTTAATACAAGTATGAATCCAAGGAAGTTGAACTCTGTTGCTTTATATGTGAAGAGAAATAAACCACCAGAAATCATGACTACAATGATACACAGGGTCCATGACTGAAACAAGTGAATAGCAACATGTTAGCACAGTGAAACTGTATGCATTCCCACTCAGTTTAGTGTATTATGAGCCCAATAATCACTTCACATTATGCTAAAATTCAGACACATTAGCAGATCACCTATATCTCAGATTGTTAAATGATTAGAACTAAATCAATCAATGTCAATTAGGTTTTGTTATCAGTAATGTAGGCTTCTTCCAAGTGTACTACATTGCCAAGTCCAAATGTTGAAGCACATAATGTATAGGACTTATGACAGAGAAACACAGTGACAGAAGGCAAAATCTAATTGCAATAAATATATAATATGGGAATGAAAGTGTCTACTGATAATGAATAATACTGTCAGCTGCATTACAATTTATAACAAGTTTGTGCGGATGTAGTCTAACACCATCATAATCTTATGGGACTATCTGTCTCTGCACAACAAACATGTGAAAATACATGAAAAACAGATACAAGTAACTATTCTCTTCTATTCTACGTGAATCTGTGGTTATTGTGACTGTCAAAAAATCAAGTCAAAACTTAAATTCTGGGAAGAAGGTGCCTAATTTTCTGTATACGCACAACAAAACATCAACAAGAAACTGCACAGACAGTTTGTAGGTGTTGTTTATGATCTACATCTGTACCAAATTTCACATGACTAGCTGCAATGATTCACTGATCACTGCTTAAAACAGACTTATAAATAGATATTTAATGCTGCGATAATATTGTTAATTTACATTTTACAAAAAATGAACTCAACAAAAGTCAAATATTCCTTCAAGATTTATTGGTGCTGGTGTTTCTATCATCTCAGATCACACAGCCATCATACTGGTAATATTGATGGAAGAGAATTAAAATGTGTTGGAAGTGGCAAGACTTTTCACGATATTTAATGCAAATTACCCATTTTTTCAGAGGCTGTTAAGATGAATAGACAGAAGTGCATGTATATATGAACAAACACACACAAAGACATGATATAGAAAGCCTTCCTTTCCTTTTCAGGTTTAAATTTAGAATAAAAAATAGGTAAGTTTGCCTAAGTTATGGTAATGCAATTCATTCATAACATTGATACCATCATGAAGTGGTCACCAGAGAGATGTTAGGGCAGTGAAGTAGAGGAGATGCATCCTACTCCTTATAACCCAAGAACATTTCACTGACTGAAATGCCAGAATAGCTACACTAGTAAAGTCACATGCCTGCTTGCAGGATAACTAGGGCTGTGTATCTTGCATGGGCAAAACATTTTCTCCTTACCACCATGTCCAGACTGACATTTTGACTACAGTCCCCTGTCCAGTGAGTGGTCAAGGTAGCTACAGTAGGAAAATAACCACTCACCTCTACCTAGTGCACGGGTTATGCATATGTGTAGTTTCACGTCCACTTCCTCCGTATGCCTTCATGGCACATGGGTAACACACACAGATGTGGTACAAAAGTCTGCTTTCCCTTATCTAGTATAACTTGTTGGTTAAATTCAATATTCCTAAATTATGGTACTGCCATTGTGTTTAGGCTTAGTGACAACTTTTTACAGATTATCATTGTGATCAAATAAGAATTCTTACTTGAAGATAACTGCCTTCTGGGATGTGCCATGTTATCTGGTAGAAGCTTACTGACATTTCAGAGGCATTCACTACCTCCACCATCAGGATGATGAGCAAGCATGAGGAACTGGTATAAGATATGGGAACCTCTC